GGTTTTAGTTACGGTAATAGCATGTTTGCTCTGCCCACTTCCTGATAGGCCTTTCCTGTCTTTGATTCTCTGACAGGGTCCAGATTCCTGTTTCTTTTTATAGTGATGCAGAAAGCAGCAGTAAGTGCATTGTCATGACCTGCTGTGCTTTTCCTTTCTTTCCTCAACATGCTGTAATTTCTCTACTGTGTGGCAGATGGAAACGGCAATTCATGACAATATAAATAATAGCTTGTGGGTGATGAGAAAGCCACAGAACAAATGAGCTATCATTGCTCCTCTGTAATAAACACCGTGAAGACAGGTCCACAGGCTTTTAGGTGCAGCTATGGTTATAGTAATTTAATTGACCCTCTTTCCTAAGTTAAACAGCATCCATAAGCCTTCAGGAGCAACCATCTCAGTCCTGAACTAGTGCTGGAAGTTTGTGGACAATTGGATGAGGGAGAATAGACTAGGATGTGATATAGACAACATGGAGGTACGTAATACTGGTAAGGGCAGTGTGTATTTTTTTCAGGGGGTACTGAAAAGGACGCAGTACTGGCACCTATTTTGGTGGTGTTGTTAAATAGTGTGGCATTTAGGGGGAAAAGCACTGGGTAAGGGAATGTCATGCACCTGATAGAAGCATGTACCTGATTGATGGTATCTCTGTGATCTTGATCAACCAAAGAATCTGGGGGAGCATTGAAAACGAAGTCACTGTTGTTCTGAAGTGTATCTTCTTCCATCTTTGGCTAATAATAGTCCCCTCCCCACTTCTCCCTGCCAAACTTTGTTACACTGGTCCATGTATCTGTATATTCCAGACTTGGTTACTACAATTCACTCTGCATGGAGCTGCTGCACATTTCCAGTGTGTTGGGATGCAGGCACATATTCAAACCAGTTTGTGCTAGTTACTCTGGTTTCCAATTTGCTTCTAGGCCCAGTTTAAGGTATTGGTTTCAGCTTTCAAATGTTACACAGCCGGGGATGCGAACACCTAAAGGACCTTTTCTTCTCAAATGAGCTCACTTACCAAACCAGATGGATATTTCTGGGAACCCTGGACTTAAAAATATGGTATCCTACAAAGTCATTGGATTTCAAACTTTTTTCTCTGGGCTACACTTTCAGAATGAAAATTTGCTCGTGCCACACTGAATTTTTTTTAATAGGAAATACATTGGGAAACAAAACAAAACAAACAAACAAAACAACTCCCAACAGTGGTTAAAAAGCTATCTATCCATATTCTGCAATAATTTTTTTTATATACTATTCTACTATACTATACTATACGACAGTCAATGTTCCTTTGACTGTCCTTGAATCTTCATGCCACACTTGCCATCCTCTCCTGGCAAACCCTTTGAGAACCACTGTAGACTGTATCACAGTAGACCCCTTATTCGGGGGGAGGGGGGAATCCATTCTCGAAAAAGAAAAGGAAAAGACCAGGGCATGTGGTGCAGCCTTGAAATATACTCAGAGTCGCAAAGTGATTTCATGCTCTTTATTCAGCTCATAGTGGTGAGGAGGAATGAATGGAAGTCCCCTCACAATATCTGCTTTATATACATTATTTACACAATGGGCTGCACATGATTGGCTAATTCCGGAATTCTACTGTAAGCCAATCAGGTTGTGGATTCACTTCTATCTGGAGCAGGATTGGGTGGTTCCTGCCAACCAATCATACTGCTGCATTGTTCTAGGACCAATCAGACTGCTGCATTCTGAATCCTATTGTTCTAGGACCAATCAGACTGCTGCATTTTGGATCCTATTGTTCTAGGACCAATCAGACTGCTGCAGTTTGGATCCTATTCAACTCAGTACATAACAAGCCTGATTTTGAATTGGCTAAAAGAAATGAAGTGAATGGGTGAATGGGTGCAATTGTACGAAGTCATTGTTCTGATGTTCTTGAAATACGAGAACTGAGGGTGCATTCCGACATGGAGAATATTGGGTTAGTTTTCCTGTTTATAGAGCTAGCACTTCTATGCTAACTTTCCTTTCACATTGCAGTTGACCTGCTGCTTTATGGAACTGTGGCTTTTTGACAAGCATAATAGCATCTTGCACTAAATTTCATTCACAACAGTGGGTGTGATGTGACACAACAACAAATATCATTGGCAGTGGTGTGTGGTCAATGGGCTAGGGGACAAGGTTAGCCCCCTAAAGGGTCCAAGAGCACTCCTGGCTCCTCCTCAAAGCCCACCTGGCTTTGGGAAGGTGGCAGCAGAGCTTCAGCATCCTGTCAAGCGGCCTGGTGCCTCCTTCCCAAAGCCCGGGAAGCTTCTACCCATCTAAGGGAGGGAGGTGTAATGCTCACACATGCAGTGTCTGCCCCCAATTCAGTCAGCCTTGCAAGCTGCTGCCTCTGGACCTAAATGGTCCCCTACAAAAAAATTCACCGCCCACCACTGCTAATAACTTTCACTCACCTATACACATATAATATATGGGCAGCATTATCACTTTTTATTGCTTCATAAATAGAATATTTTGAGTATTCAGTTGAGTTTAATATTCATAGTTTTAACAAGGCCTACTTTTAGGACAGCATCTGAATAAACTAGCTTGAGGAACTGTATACTTTTGTGTAATTCTTTTCATAGAATCATTATCTGGATTGTCTTAGTTATAGAGACCTAGGGTTATTTTTGGCCTTTTCAATGTATGAATATCCAACAACATTGTTCTTTGTTTAACACTGTATTTACATTTCTCTCAGGTTGCTAAGTCACCTGTCCTTGTGCAAATATTTTCAAAGCCTACATGATAAACGATTGCAAGGAAAAGGTAGCGGAAGGTAGTGCAACTTCTACCTCCAGCCATTTTTGCTCCTCCACTTTTTCACATTTCTTCCTGTCTTCTTGTACACTTAAGGCCAGGCCAAAATAACATCAGCAGCAATTTAATGGAAACAGAAACTAATTAAGAAAAGCACAAACTATCCTACCGCTGAGTGTATTTTGTATAGGTTAAAAGGTAAAGGGACCCCTGAACATTAGTTCTAGTTGTGGTAGACTCTGGGGTTGCGGCACTTGCTTTACTGGCCAAGGGAGCCGGTGTACAGCTTCCGGCTCATGTGGCCAGCATGACTAAGCCGCTTCTGGCGAACCAGAGCAGCGCACGGAAACGCCGTTTACCTTTCCGCCGGAGCGGTACCTATTTATCTACTTGCACTTTGACGTGCTTTTGAACTGCTAGGTGGGCAGGAGCAGGGACTGAGCAACGGGAATCCCCGCCACGGGGATTCAAACCACAGACCTTCTGATTGGCAAGTTCTAGGCTCTGTGGTTTAACCCACAGCGCCACCTGCGTCCGTTATAGGTTAGTGAGGCCTAAAACACAAGTAATTAGGTTCTCTGTGACTCACAGCAACAGACAGGGAAGACTTGTTCTGTTAGTGGAGCTAGAATATCAAAACGTCCCCTATAGCAGTCAGACTATCTAGCCACTGAGCACAGTATTGCCTACTCTAGCAGCAAGCAATTCAAGGTCTTAGAACCAGCTCTTTCCTGCTTTCCCCAAGCTGGTGCCCTTCAGCTCCCATCATGCCTGACCATTGACAATGCTGGCTAGACCTCATGTGAATCCAACATCTCAAGGATGCCAGCTTGGGAAAGGCTGTATGATCCTGGAGATGCTAATGATTGAATCTGGGGTTGCTTGCATGAGTTCTAATATTCAGGTTGTCTCCCTGTCCCTGCGGGTAGATAGGGAAGAAACAAGTTTGGCATAGATCCTATTTGCATTTATCCTTGATGTTTTTTGTTTCAGTGTTTCTAACTTCAGACTGAAAGTCTAATCATACACGCGAAAGTTTCGTTGAAAAAACTGGGATTTAGCAAATTGAGATTTGCCTGCAATTATATATATGGCATACATATGTGTTATAGTGTGTTATTTTTCACAAGAAACAGGAGGCTTTTGTTGCCCACCTCATTTGCATGTTGTTTATATATAGAACACATCTATAAATTTAGCATGTAGCTAAAATCATTGAATAAATATTTACACAAGCCTCCCTCAGACTGTGGGTTTACTGAACAGACTTTTAAAAATAAACCATCTACAAGTGTCCTGAATTCACTTTTGTGGTGGTAGAATAGTTCAAATGTGACATACTCAAACCACAAATGTTACAATGTGTCTGTGGTTCACTCAAGACCTGCAAACGCAGTGATGTAAAATATTTAACAGAATGCATTATTAAATAATGGGAATGGAAATAGAAACATCAGAAATTTCTTAAGCAAAGAAAACTAGTTTCAGAATCAGAGGGAAAGTAAAGGGGTGAAAGGACACAATAAAGGAGAAAGAAAATATGTAAATAGGTATCAAATTGAATTCCATAAGACTTATAGAACTGAAGACCAAACATTCCCAATAGATTACGGTAGTTCAGATTTTTATCATGATGATGATGATGATGATGAACACTACAGTTTCTAGTGTGACAGAGATGCACTGTGTCAGAGGTTTCTGAAGGACAAGAAAGATGTTTAGAGATACAATTTCAAGTACTGAAGGCAGGCAAGCTAGTTCTCAGGATGAGTCACCAGGAAGGTGATCATAATGAAATAGTGCAGTATCCAGCACTAAGTCATCCCATCAGCACAAGGACTTCCAACTGTGCAATGGCAATTCCTCTCCTCTCTGTATACCCTCTTCCACATCTGTTCTGGAGAGTTGGGAGAACCCCAAGAACAGAATTGGGGAGTGCACAGGGAGAGAAAAGGGAGAGAAAGCCCCATTGCGTGATGGGACAATTTCAATGAGTACAACCCAGAGTTCAGTTTTTGTAAGAAAAATCCAGATTATTCTAAGAAAAATGTAATTCTGACTGCAATATCCAGTAATGGATTAACATAAATAGCATTTTCTCCTGACCCTCAAAATTTAATATCATCACTTCCCCATCAAATACAACTGATATCTCCTGCACAAGAACATTGGTGCCCCAGAACTGTGATATAATTTGATCATGAAGGAGGTTTATTTATTTATTTATTTATTGAATACACTTCTATAGCACCTTTCATTAAATTGATTCCATGAATAATACAGAACAAATTAAATAAAATCTGCCATTAAATCCAGAGGACAGCAGTATCTACAATAACCAACAACTGTCAGATGCTTGGGCCAATAAGTATGTTTTTTAGCTGGTGCTTATCTTCTTTCCGAAAGGAGAGGATTCTACAAGCTGGGCAACAACTCAGAAAAGACCCTGCTCAATATGAACATCAGCAATCTGCAACACAACAGGAGGACCTCATCCAAATCACTTAATGAATGGAAAGATATATCAGGGAAGCGCCCAAGTTGTTTAGGGCAGATGTTTTCAACCTTTTTTGAATCCACGGATCACTTAACCAACTACATTTCTTTCTGTGGCACCCCTGTGGGGTTCAGGAGCCCAGTTATGTCACCCCTTGCCTCCAGAGCTGGCAGCCTCTCACCCTTGTCAAACACCCTCCCTTGTGGAGTGTTCCCTCAGCCTCCTCTCCCCTCTCCTTGGGAGTCCTCTGGGGACTGCTGCCATTCCCGGTCTCTGAGCTGCACCTCCTCCGTTGCCCCAAAGAGAGGTGGCTCTCAGAGGCACCATTCGCCTGCAGAACTTACAGCCAGGGCTGATGAAATAAACAGCTGTGCAAGCCTTTGGGAGGCAGAGATGCAAGAGGGTGTCAGAGGAGGCAGGTAAGGAGAGAGGGACAGTGTTGCTCATGGCATCCCTGACCATCATTCAAGGCACCCCAGGGTGCCATGGCACACAGACTGAAAATCACTGGTTTAGGGCATTAAAAGTCAGTAACAAAATTGTAAACTTGGCCTGGTAGTAAACTGAGATGCAGTATTGTTAAGTATGAAATCAATTTTTTGTTTCATGTGTGAAAAAGAATTATCTAAAACGGCTATACTGTGGAGATGAACTGACATTAACAGTGGGCTGCTTCTAGAAATCCATGACCTTTAGAAATCAGTTGCTCTTATGAAAGCTCTTATTTGAATGATGCATAACATGCATGAAATTTGAGGAACTTTGCCGCTTGTCATGAGACTGCTTTATAGAACTTACGGGAAATTGCAGAACCTTAGTCACACTATTTTTCTAGTGAGCGAACTTGCCAAAGATAAATGCTGTTCAAAATATATTAATGTGATTCAAAGACCAATGTTGCTATAAGGTCCCCCCTTTCTTTATGTCCATGTACACCTTTATGATCTATAAAACAAGTCCATCTCTACATGGGGCACATTCATCAGCTAAAGTGTGTATGAAAGAGCTGAGCCCAAGTTCAGCACTCCATTGGCAGCTAGACATTCACATTGGGCCAGCCCACCCATGAGACAAGTTGAGGCAGCTGCCTCAGGCAGCAGGATCCACAGGGGGCAGCAGATCTTGAGGTAGATCTTTATTCCAGTGCACCCATGAGACACGCTGAGGTGACTGCCTCAGGCAGCGGTATCCACAGGGGACAGCAGATCCCAATGTCAACATCCTTTCCTGCTTTGTTCCCGATTCCTCACCCCTTCTTCCCTGGCGGGGATGGAGCTGCAATTGTGCCAAAATGTCTTGGGCCAGCCTTGCCCTAAGCGAGTCCCGTGCTTCGAGATAGCTGACTTGTGCTGGGGGGGGGGGGTGCCCCACTGAGCCGAGCAGGCCAGATCAAACAAGCCTGCCTAAGACAACCACCATCCCGCCCCCCTCCCGCCGCTGGTGGCGCATGCGCGCACGACTCTCCGCCAGCTGGCTTGTGTTTCGCCCGACGCCGCCTCCTCCTCATAGAGGAAACGCCAGGACCCGAAGCAAGAGCCTCCGCCTCACAGCCAGCCTTGCGCTTAACGGTCCGGGAATAGAAGCCGTCGCCCTCGACTCGTTCGGTGAGCCTCTCGTCTGTTAGGACACCGTCGGGGGAGGACGCGGGAGAAGCGGGGCGGGCGAGAGGCCTGAAGCAGGCTGGGCCGGGCCCTCTGTTCTCCCTTGGCGGCTGGGCCGGGGGAGGGGGCCCTGAATGGCGCTGAGGGGGCAGCAGCGTCTCCCTCCCTGGGGAAAGCGGCGCGGGGGCTTCGGCCAGGCCCGCTTGAGACGGAAACAGCCCCCTCCCCTCTGGCTCCGGCTGAGCGGGGCGGGTCCTGGGGAGCGCGCTCTCCGTATGCTCAGAAAAAGGGCTTGGGGAGGCGACGCCCCTGGTTTCTGCGCGGGTGTTTTGCGCCCCCCCTCCCGTAACGGCGGGGGTGGCGGGGCGGGAAGCCTCGTCGGAAGCGAGCCCCTTTCCCCTGAGTCTCGCGAGGGCGAAGGGGGAGCAGCAGCTTGGCGGGGCTCCCGGGCTTTTGATCGGCGTTGCCGTGGGAGGGAAGGAGGGCGGGCGGCCCACGCGGACCTCCGTCTCCCTCGAGGGGCTGGGAAGAAGGTTGAAATCGGAGGGGAGGAGTCGGGCCAATAAAGGGCAGGGGGTTTAGCGCGGGGACGGGGAGGGTTGTCTTTTGGCTCAGAGAGCGAAGTTGAGGTCGGCGGAGGAAGCAAGACTCGGTTTCGTTACGTAGACTGTTTACTTTAAAGGTGGGAGAAGGAAGTATGTAGTCCTATTTCTGTGAGTGGCGCAGCGGTCTTTCCACTCATGTGATTTACATCCTCTGAAAGTCGGGATCTGTTTTGATATTCACAGCAAACCCTACAGGGATCCATCAAACCTTTATTTTGCGCTACAGTATTTAATACACCTTGTTCTTCATCTGCGTGTGTGTACCCCACACAGATGTGACAACGACGACAACAAAACAAAGTCTTGAGACATTTTGAAAACTTAACAGATTTATTGTGGCATAAGTTTTCATGAGCCACAGGCCATTTTATCAGAGATGTTGAATTTAGTGGATGTTGCATTCTGATGGGATGGACTATAGTCCACAAAAGCTTAGGCCATAATACATTTGATTGCCACGAGACTCCTTGTTGGGTTTAGTGCAGCAGGCTAACACAACTACCCCTCTGGAAAAATGAATGGGAATTGTTTTCTTTTTGAATTCTATCTAACACAGTCCTATATGTGAAAGTGTGTTTTCAGTTAGGCTAACTTTCTAGTATGCGTGTTCAGGATTGCAGCTTTAGAGCATCTGTGCCATCTGTTCCAAATGTATACTTAGATGAAATACACACACAGTCTTTTTGAATGAAGTTGTACTTCATATTTTGGCAGACTTTTCTCCTGCCCATAACCCCACTTTTTCTCTCTCGATATAAATTGACACTTTGGCTGTATTTGTTCAGTCATTTTTTAAAATACGCGAAATCCAGCATCTTTCTCTCACAGCAGCCAACCAAATGCCTGTGGGAAACCTGCAAGCAGGACCTGGCCACAAGAGCATTCTCCCATCCTGTAGCAACTGATATTCAGAAACATCACTGCCTCTGACTTTGGAGGCAGAGCATGGCTATCATGGCTAGTAGACATTGGTAATCTTATTCTCCATGAATTTGTCCAGTCTTCTTTTAAAATCATCCAAGTTGATGGGCATCACTGTCTCTTGTGGGAGTGAGTTCCATAGTTTAACTGTGTTGCATGAAGAAGTAGATTATCTATGCTGAATATGCATGCACTCCTGTGATATGAGAGAACGAGGAAACATTTTCTGCATTCACTTTCTCCATACCATGTATAATTTTTAATAAACATCTCCTTCACGTCATTTCTGCTCAACCTTTCTCTAAAAAGTCCCATATGCTTCAACCATTTATCAAAGGGGAGTCACTCCACCTCCTTGATCATTTCAGTTGCTCTTTTCTGAACCTTTCCCAACTCTACTGTTTTACTGATTACTTGATTGAGGTTAGGCGGCCAGAACTGTCCACAGTATTCCAAATGTTGTCACACCATAGATTTGTATAATGGCACTATGATATTGGAAATTTTAATTTCAGTTTCTTTCCTAATGATCCCTAGCATGGAATTTGCTTTTTTCATGGCCTCTGCACACTGGGTTGACATCTTCATCAGGCTATCTACTGTGACCTCAAGGTCTTGTTCCTAATCAGTCGCTGCAGGTTCAGACCCCATGAGCATATATGTGAAACTTAAGGTTTTTTGCCCTGACACTTTACACTTGTTTACATTGAATTGAATTTGCTATTTTACTGCCCATTCATTCAGTTTGGAGAGATTCTCTTTTGAGATCTTCACAATGTCTTTTTGTTTTAACAATCCTGAACAATTCAGTGTTATCAGCAAACTTGGCCACTGTGTTGCTCACTCCTTACTCTAGATTGTTTATGAATAAGTTAAAAAGCATACGTCCCAATACTGACCCTTGAAGGACTCCCACTTTCTACACTTCTCCATTTCGAGAATTCTTCATTTATTCCTACTCTCTGGTTCCTGCTACTTAACCAATTATTGATGTTTAGGATGACCTCTCCTTTTATTAAACAACTGTTAAGGTTAACCAGGAATATTTGGTGAGGTGACTTGTCAAAAGCTTTTTGAAAGTACAAGTACACAACATCAACCAGATCACCTCTATCTACATGCTTGTTGATGCTCTCAAAGAATTGTCATATGTTAGACAGGACTCACCCTTGCACAAGCCATGCTGGCTTTGTTTCAGTAAGGTTTGTTCTTCAGCATGCTTGGTTATTTTATCTTTAACAGTATTTTACACCAGTTTTTGGGTGTAACTAGCTTTTAATTTCTAGGATCCTCTCTCCCTGCCCAATCTGTTTTTTTTAAAAGTGTTACATTGACTACAGTCCTCAAGAATGGAGGCTGATCTGAGGAATAAATTGCATACATTTGTTAGAAGATCAGCAATTTCACAGTTGAGTTATTTGAGAACTCTTGGTTGGATGCCATCCAGACCCAGCAATTTGTCACTTTTTATTGTGTCATTAAGGGCAAGAACTTCATCTCTCGTCACCATTATCTGCCTCAGTTCCTCAGACTTGCCTTCAGTAAAAGTTAGTTCAGGGATCTGTCATATATCTTGCATTGTGAAAACAGATGCAGAGAGTTCATTCAGCTTCTCTGCAGTCTTACTATCCTTCTGTAGCACACCACCTCCCTAGACTCTCCTGCTACTAATATGTTTTAAGAACCTTTTGTCTGCTTGCACTTTTTTGGTCAAAGTTTGTGTTCCTTTTTGTTCTCTTAATTTGGACAATACTTCCATTTTTTGAAGGAAGCCTTCTTGGCTCTAAGCATGCTGGCATCCTCTTGGTCCTTGTGGCACATTTCTTGATTTGCAGCTTCTAATATTGAGCTTCTAATATTGAGTTTTTAAACAACTTCCAAGGTCTCTTGCGGGGGCGGGCGGGGTGAGCGCGCACATAATCCAAGCATCTAGCTACTGGCTAATTATCTCCTAGGTTACATGCAAATCCTGAAATATTTTAGAAGCTTGGCTTTTAGTGTGAATTTTTTGTGTTTCTTTTCAAACATAAGTTGTTAGTAAGGTTAATTGAACCAAGTAAACCAAGCCAATATTTGTCCATATCCTGGGGCATGTTGAGGGCAACTCTCTTTTTGCTCCAACCTAATAGGGAAAGGGAGGACGCGGGTGGTGCTGTGGGCTAAACCACAGAGCCTAGGACTTGCCGATCAGAAGGTCAGTGGTTCAAATCCCCACGACAGGGTGAGCTCCCGTTGCTCGGTCCCTGCTCCTGCCCACCTAGCAGTTCGAAAGCACGTCAAAGTGCAAGTACCGTATTTTTCGCACCATAGGATGCACTGGACAATAGGACGCCCCTTGTTTTAGAGGGGGGAGAACAAGAAAAAAAATTCTCCCCCTCTCTGCCCAGCGCACCTTCCGCGAAGCGGCAGGAGGCGCTGCGCAGAGAGGGGGAGAATTTTCCCCCTCTTGTTTTCCCGCTCTAAAACAAGGTGCCGTTTAAGGTGCGTTCAGGCGGCTACCTTGGAAGCCTGGAGAGCGAGAGGGGTCGGTGTGCACCAACCCCTCTCGCTCTCCAGGCTTCAGGTTCCTTTCGACCTGCTCTTTGGGGCTGGCGGGGGGAAGCCAACCACCAGCCCCAAAGAGCAGGTCAGGGAGCAGTGGAAATGCGCAGCGGAGAGGCTCCAGCCATAGCCGCGCGTCACCTCTCCAGCCGGGAGAGGGTCGCGGGGGGCTTCTTTAGCCCCACGCGCGCTCTCCCATCTGGAGAGGTGACGCGCGGCTATAGAGGCTCCTTCCATAGCCGTGCGTCACCTCTCCAGCCGGGAGAGGGTAGTGGGGCTATGGCATCTTCGCTCCATAGGACGCACACACATTTCCCCTTCATTTTTGAAGGGGAAAAAGTGCGTCCTATAGAGCGAAAAATATGGTAGATAAATAGGTACTGCTCCGGCGGGGAGGTAAACGGCGTTTCCGTGCGCTGCTCTGGTTCGCCAGAAGCGACTTAGTCATGCTGGCCACATGACCCGGAAGCTGTCTGAGGACAAACGTCGGCTCCCTCGGCCAATAAAGCGAGATGAGCGCCGCAACCCCAGAGTCGGTCACGACTGGACCTAATGGCCAGGGGTCCCTTTACCTTTACCTAATAGGGAAAGGGGAGGAATAATACTTACTAATAAATGGTTGTAAAACTTATCCAGGAAAAAGTACAAAAGTAGAAAGAGAGAATAATAGAATCATAGAATTGTAGAGTTGGATCCAGACAGTCCAAGCCCCTGCAATGCAGGAATCTCAACACATTATTCCCCCATCAAAGGTATTGGAATTATTAGTTCACATCTATTATACTGTCCCTTTGACTCCCAGAGCAGTCAGTTTGTATTGGATGAAAAGATGGAGAGGAGGGAATCTGTAAAATTAACCCAGTAAAAACATGGATTCATTTGTAGCTCAAATTGACAACCTTGGCTACTATTCGGAAAGTGAGGATTCCAGTATGCAATCAAATATTCCCTTCTAGTGGGGTAGATGGGAAAAGATAACAACCTGAACTGTAAAATAGTGTTTTAAAACAAATTTCAGCCTCCCCAATGCTCTTTCAGTACTCTTTCATCAATTACAACTGATAAGATTTCTGCAAGATACATTTGTGACTACAAATGGTGACTAGCACTCAGAACATCTGATTTCTGTTGGACTGCTGAAGAGCTGCATATTTGCATTAGATATTGTAATGGAAAGTGCATGTTTCTAGTGTGATATTCATTCTAGGATAGGATAACCAACTATATATTTAAAAAACTGGGGCTCAATTTACTCAAGTGCAGGTGCATAACATGCATGTGAAGGAATCCCAATGGATACAAGAGAGCCTTACTTTCTCCATACAGTCATACCTCATGTTACGTTTGCTTCAGGTTGAGCGTTTTCAGGTTGTGTCCCGTGGCGACCTGGAAGTACCGGAAAGGGTTACTTCTGGGTTTCATCGCATGCGCAGATGCGCAAAATGACGTCACACACAGAAGCGGCGAATCGCGACATGCGCATGCACAGACGCGCATTGCGTTCCTTTCAGGTTGCGAACGGGCCTCTGGAATGCATCCGTTCGCAACCAGAGGTACCACTGTACTTCTGTCAGTGTGAAAGCATATTGGTATGCATAGAGACAGCGTAAGAGGGTATTGCAAGGAATGGAAAGGCTATTTCCCCTGTGTCTGTCAAGACTGTCCTGTGTGCCATGCAAGTTCCTTGTGCTATAAAGCATAGGTAACATTGCAGTCATATTGATGTTTACCTGCTAGTAAAATCTGTTGTATATTGCTGAACTTGCTTTTGAGCAAGTTTGCATGGAATTGTGCTGTAATTTGCATGGTGCACAGATATGACTTGTAAAAAGTTAGTTTTTTCAGCATCAAGTAAAAATTTCTGAGGGATTAAAAACATAAAGCTATGCTAGGCAATTCTGTACCCAACTTGCATATAAGTGCTACTTCCTCATTCATTTTAAGACTTTTTGTTTTATTTCTTTCAGGCTAATTCTGTGAAAATGTCGCTGTATCCTTCCCTGGAGGATCTGAAGGTGGACAAAGTAATTCAGGTATGTCAAAGTATATTTTATGGGGGAAACCAATGTTTGCTGAAGGTCAAAACAGTAACCATTTGAAAATTCTATTTCTGAAAAACATCTTTCTGTATATTCTAGACCAGCACATAAAAATATATTCTTGTATAAAGATTATCTTTTAATTATGTGCATAGTTTCTGCTGTTATAATAATTATACTAAGTGTGAGCTCCGGTAGTTTAGGCCTCTCCAAGTATGTGTGTGTGGATGGATGGATGGATGGATGGATGGATATGCAGGCACCCTGTGAACCTTTCTGATGTAATACTTGAATTATTTTTGCTGCTGTTCCAAACACTGTCACAAATTGCCTTGAAATTCACTCTGTTTGTAAAGTAACTTTACCATGCACAATGGGTCACAAATCCAAAGTCTCTTAGGTGTATGGAACTAATTCTTTAGTATAGTTCTTTAGAGCCTGATCTGTTTTTATTTATCAGATAAATTTCCAAATTTGTATTAAGGAAACTAGAAGTAAAGCAAAGGATTAAAGAATAAAAGTATTTGTAGTGCACATTCAATATTTGTTTTGATAAAAGTAGCTATTATAGAATAAGGCGTGTGTTTCCTCAGCATTATTAAGTCCCACTCCTCAAACAAAGTTACTCCTAAACAGGTTAGAAAATTGTTTTGAAAATAAGTTCCCCATTTTGAAATTCACATATTTTTGTGAGCAAGCAAACGTTGTAATGTAACTTGTTACTTTCAACAACTGGAACATATTGGTTTGTAACTAAATATATATTTATGTAACCTAAAGGCATAATTAAAAGTTTTTGGCTCTGCAACCCACATGCCTCTTGTATTATAGAATTATGTCTGTTTATAAACTTTATAAAGTGTTTTTTTTACTTTATCTTCCTGTGCAGGCACAGACATCTTTTGCTTCAAACCCAGCCAATCCAGCATTTTTATCTGAAGCCTCAGCACCCGCCCTTCAACATGGAAGTAAGTTACTTTAGTGCTAAGAAAATATGAGGTAGCAGAAGCTAAATATGTATTGCACAAAAAAATACAACTTTAACAAAAGTCAATTGACATAACACAAGTTCTAGCTAAACTATTTCACTGGTTTATTTCACTGAAAGGTTTTTATTGATCTCTGGAAATGATAAGGATAGGCTGTATAAAGATAATTGCTTTAAAGAGAATTAAATGGAGTTGGGTGCTTGTAGGGTGCTTGTCAGTCTAAATCTGTATGGGTTACTTTTGCATGTGTTCATAAGGATTTCTGTTCCATCCTCCTCCTGCATTAAATGTGTGAAATTATTTTTTTGGGAGGGGGGAACCCTGCACAGTATTGTTTAAAAGTACTTATCAAGCAGCCTGAGGACTGCCTTTTAATGAATGTTGTCTTCTTCTTACCTATAATACCCTTTCCAAGTGGCTAGAAAGTCTAGCTGCTGTTGCACATATTCACAATGGGAGCCTCAATTGCCCCTGGGAGCATTGGGATGTGATGACAGGGTAGGGTTTTTTTTGTGTGCATATGTTGTTCCTGGGAGGGAAGGTATGTCACTGCTCCCAGTGGCATATGAAACCCTATTTTCAACATACCTGGCATCAGCTGTGCTTTGTGGCCGCTTGAAGCAGCTATTAACTTTTTTGAAAAAGTTTTTTTTTCTTTAAAGGCAGTCCTCGGGCTACCTTGTAAAATCCTTATGTGGGTTTTCTAATCTGAGAGTTGCTGGTCAGTGATCCTAATAAGCTTTCAATATGTAAATCTAGTAGCTCCAAGTGCAGTGGTAACTGTCAGCATGTTGTAAGGGAGGATAAGATTGCTTCAGTCTGATACTTGTCTTTTCACCTGTGAAATTAAGAATCATCTCAACAGGCTCTAAATAATAGTAATAGTTTAACATTATTTTTGTTTACTTTCTATAGACTTGTATCCCAAACTGTATCCCGAACTTGCCCAGTATATGGGTCTAAGCCTAAATGAAGAAGAGATACAAAGAAACATGGCAATGGTGCCTGCTGTAAATTCTCAGGGGGTAAGTATCAACCATATAAGTAGGACTAATTTAGGTTTCCTTGTGTTTTGCTTAAATAAAAGAAAAGAACATTATAAAAGCAAGAGCTGAAATATTAGGGGTGTGCCCCAAATGATGATACAAATTGGGGTGATTCAAGTCATGAATCAGATTGTGCCCTTAATAAAAAACACACACCAGATTTACCCAGCTTTTCTGAGAAACTAGACCAAACTGACTAAGTAATCACCCAGAGCTTTGAGGAAAGTGGAGAGGTGGGAGATATTTTGTTTGTTTTTAGTTGCAGTGAATTATTTCCCAATTTGCTTCAGGGCTGAAGGAATCCAACAATTTGGAAATAAACCCCCAATCTGCAGGTTGGTGTGCATCAAATGAGAAATGGGAACCCAGTTTGTTGGATTCTGCTCCCATCAATACCTGTGATCCTAAGGATTCCAAAATAATATAACTTTTATAAAGCACAAAATTGTTGTCCTGAAGTCGCTCATGGGTTTGTCCCATTTAAAGAAAAGGCCTATAAATGAGACTTTATTCTGCCAGTTTTTAAGGTTGACTTATTTTAAGGTCTTCTAATTCTCAGCTTGTTGCAAGCCCTTCTGCAGTGAATTACATGGTGGCTCCAGTAACTGGAAATGATGTTGGAGTTCGCAGAGCGGAAATTAAGCAAGGAATCCGTGAAGTAATACTGTGTAAAGATCAGGATGGAAAAATTGGACTTCGTCTTAAATCAGTGGACAATGTATGTATGATAAATCTGATTTTTTAAATATAAAAAAGTGACCCATTAATTTCAGCTATCTAGAGCTGAACACAGTCAAGTTGCTGTGTAATTGCTAATCCAGATGTTAATTTTATGGCTGAATCTGCATGTTTCACTAAATGTTCTGTTTATTTTTATTTCTCTATTTGGTCATGTTAAAACTGTTAATCATATAAAATATTGTACAGATATGCAAGTAAAAATATAATAAAACACTTTGCATTTAAAAACAAATGCAAATTATATTTCTAGAATAAAATGAAATGTATGTGCATGTTAATTTAAACCAAAACTACCCCTCCCCCTTTTAACGGTAGGTGTTGCCAAATGTGTATGTGATGCATGTGTTCTGTTTTTCACTGTGCTTCTCTTGCATGTTTTCTCTAAATGCATTGGATAGATACTGGATGTTAATTTACTTTCATATGTGGACGTATCTTTGTATTTAGGGTATTTTTGTCCAGTTGGTTCAGGCCAACTCGCCATCATCACTAGTTGGCCTGCGGTTTGGCGACCAGGTTCTGCAGATTAATGGCGAAAATTGTGCAGGTTGGAGCTCTGATAAAGCCCACAAAATTCTGAAGCAAGCACCTGGAGAGAGAATTTCAATGATCATCCGTGACAGGTAAACCCTCCAGAAATGTTACACACCTTCTTAGACATCTTTGGGGTTTCATAGTTGTTAAGGAGTGCCTAGAAGTTGAATGTGTTGGGTTTTTGTTGGTTTTTTTCAAACCTCAGTTTCCTAGTGTGACTAGCTTAAGGTCAGGGCCTAAAGTTGTGCACACAAAGGTGTGTTAATATGCCCATAGATCACACACAGATCTGATTTTTCCATGTACAGATCTGATTTTTCCATGTACACGTTCATCTGCCCAAGTGCTTTCCAGTCCACACAAGTGACTGGTGCTTGATGGGATTTGTACTATGTGTTGTCTCCTCCCCGAAATTAATATTTACCCACCCTCCCTGAGTTCCAGAAAACTCAGGTCCATTGTGGGCATGTGTTCAGATATTTGGTTCCCTGTGCATTTGGCCAATTTTATTTCCAGTATACCAGATATACACAAAACACCTGATAAAACTTTTTTTTTTTTAATTCATGGGTCATACCTGGCTCTGCCAGCAGCCTACCGAGTAGTGCCTTGCTAACAGAAGTAGGACGTGTGGCAATAGATAGCACCCAGCAGAACAGCACACACACACCACACACGAAAAAGCCCAACTGCCCAATGTGCTTCAGTATGTCTGGATTATACATTGGATTACAGTGGTACCTTGGTTCTCAAACTTAATCCGTTCTGGGAGTCCATTCAACTCCCGAAACCTTTTGCAAACCAAGGTGCAACTTCCGATTCCTGCACTCAAGCGGAAGCCGTGTCAAGACGTTCGGCTTCTGAAAAACGTTCGCAAACCGGAACACTTACTTCCCTGTTTACGGCATTTGGGAGCCAATTTGTTCGAGAACTAAGCCATTCGAGAACCAAGGTACCACTGTATATATTAACTACAGATTGGGAGAATCCAGATTGGATTGTTGCTTGGATGATGACAGTGTCACATGGATGACATAAAAGGCATGTACACTGGGATGTACTGAATCTACTTTAAACTGCTGTGTCATAGAATCATAGAATCGTAAAATTGGGAAGCGTACACAGCCTAATACCTTTGGATACAGGTTAGTGATGTAGGACATTAAGTAAATACTCCAAACAATAAACTATGAATGTTTTTCTTACAGGCCTTTTGAGCGAACTATTACCATGCACAAGGATAGTACTGGGCATGTTGGCTTTATATTCAAAAATGGAAAGATAACTTCAATAGCAAAGGACAGTTCTGCTGCTAGAAATGGACTTCTGACAGAACACAACATCTGTGAAATAAATGGTCAGAATGTAATTGGCCTGAAGGTGAGTAACATGCAAGATAACACACACTCAGCAAGTATTGCATTTTGAAAAGTGGAGTGATATTGTTCTAAATGGGCAGAAGACATATGCAAAAGCTTGTCCATATAAATTTATTTGATTGATAGAAAACAGGACCTGCAATCCTGTGGTCCCTGGGAGTGTGTGTCAGGGGTCATTGCACCTTCAACCACATTCCATGGTTCTCTGGGGAAGAGAGATTCAACAGCAGCTAAAACATCCTGATTCTTTTGCCTTACAAAGTATTCTTGCTGCTAGACCTGCATAGATCAGGCTCTCTTCTTTCAAAAAAGTTGCTGGTTCCTCAGGCTAGTGAAAGGAAATTAAACAGAATTGTACATTCACTTCCCTATTAATGACATTAACACATAATTTTGTCTTACTAGTTGTTCGGCTGCTTGGAAGAACCAGTAGCATGTAGTATGAAGGCAATGATGGCAGTAGTGGGATAAGCGGTGGGTCTGCTATAGGTGATTGAGAGCTTAGACTTTTAATTTAGCAAACTACATTCCAGAATATAGTCCAGTTTTTTATTAAAGGGGCTGTTTACATTATCTATTACCTCAGGGAATGGGGAACCTATGGCCCTCCAGATGATGTAGGACTCACATCAGCCCCCGATGGTATAGCTAGTGGTCTTGGGTATTGGGAGTTGTAGTTTAGCAACATCAAGAGTCTCACACATTCCCCAGTCCAGCTCTACCTGTATATGTGTATAGAATTTATCACCTCAATAGTGCTTAAGACAGCTAATAGCAATTAAAACTATTGTGGAAGCTACATCCACAATAACATCCGTAAGTGCCAAGTTTCAAGTCAGAATTCATGACTTTCTATCTTCTTCATAGGATGCCCAAATTGCAGACATACTAACATCAGCTGGAAACGTGGTGACCATCACTATCATGCCTTCTCAAATTTTTGAACACATAATCAAGAGGTACGTGTAAAATACTTCTCCATTTAAATAGACTAACAATCTCTTAAAAGAATAGGCATGCTTTGATTGTAGGATCTTCAGAATAAATATCAACAAATGTAATATGCATGTGGTGTTAAACTCTTATACAAATGTGGCTAACAGTGGCAGAGTCTGAAAATCTTTAACTATTCTTGTCAAGCTGCTTGCTGAAATTTCAAAACGAAAAGGCAAATTTCAGCTTAGAATGAAGCTTATAAATGCTTCATACCACTATTGATTTTAAAGTGTTATTGGCACTAAAACTAATTCTAGGAGTGAAGGAATGTAGAACTTAGTTTTTTCTTTTGCTGCCAGGAAATGGGTTGAGAAGCTACTGCAGTAAGCTTGCCTTCAGCTTTTGAGTTTACAGCATATGGTCTTGTGCCTTGTAACAAATGAGTCCAGTGTTGCACTCCTTGCTGCGATATTTTTGCAGCTTTGGAATTAATCTGCTTATTACACATTGTTAAAGATTCATTATTATTTTCAGGATGGCTTCAAGCATTGTGAAAAACCTGATGGATCACACCATCCCTGAAGTCTAGAAATCTGTTTTTGGGTGCATCTGTAATGAGAACTTCGCTAAACATGGGCTACTTAGTCTGCAACTTTTACGTTCTGCACATGAGCCTTTCTTTAAGCCCAAAGCAGATATACTGCCTTGAGTATTTACATTATTATGGCTGGGAATGTCACAATCCAACATATTACCTTGCTCAAACTATGAGTTTTGTAGCCTTATACTTGTCTCACAAAAACCAGTATAACTCTTTTTCATAGGGTTATACTGTTTAATTCAACACTTTATATAAGCCATTGGAATGAAAACTAATGTATCTTGTGTCTTTTGCTATCTGTGATCCAAGCACATTGCTGCCCTTTGTACTTTTTCAGACGAATTAGTTTTTCTACTACCTTCTGCTAGGAAGGATATTTACATTTATGACTTGTAGTGCTTGTTAACTGCTGATTTTAGTAACCATGTTTACAAAGCATGCCAGTTAAACTGAGCATAACGTATCATTCCATAGACATTTTAAATAGCACAGGTGAGCATTTAGGTTCTGTCTTACTGCTGCTCTTTTACAAGTTGTTCTGATGTGCTTAAATTATGTTGCCTTAACCATGTTAAACAGAAATAAAGTCTGAAAAACAAGGTTTTCATTTTCTAACTATACTGATGAAGGTCCCTAAATTTCTCCCCCGCCAAAAGCCAATAACTTAATTAGTAGTGGAAAGGGGGGTGAGCTGTCATGTTGAGGTGTGGATCCTAGCTTGGAACAGTATGTACAGTAACATAATTCATTTTACTTTTGAAAGAGTGTTACCTTAATTTCTTGCCTTTCTGAATTTTATTAGTTTGTGTACAGCTATTTGGCAACTGGCATTTTCTTTGAAGGCTGCTGCTCAAGACTTTAAAGCTTTCTACAGTGGTTGAAGTTGTTTACATTGCCGGTCCCTATTACATAGCCATTTCAGTCTGCTGGTGAGGAGTTTTGGAAGGTGGGATTGTATAAACACAAAGGCCTTAACCCCCATTTTTACAGGTAATGAATGCTGCTATGTTCCTATTAAAAAGTACTTCTCTACATAACTGAATCCTGATGCTTTAAAAGGAGCATTAGAGCAGGGCTTGCAAGATGCAGTTGGACCAGCCAGCAGCCCACATCTACATGGCCAAAGGCCAAGAATGATAGTTGTAGTCCAACAACATCTGAAATGACAGTGGTCCATGCTGTATCTAGCTGCAAGGATACTAGTAAAGATATGTTTGTAATGATCAGGATTGAATTCAGAGATAGGATACACTTGTATTTTGGCTAAGGCCTGAGGTTTATCTCCATTTTGTGGAAAAATATAGACAAATAATGTTAAGTAGATTACTGCGGTTGCAAGTTAGAACCACTTTGGTTACTGAAAAATAAGTCTTTATTTGACAAGCATTACAGGCAATAATAACATTCATAAGGAAATACAAGTGCATACTGTAGCTCAGCATTGTAATTGCAGACCCAATCTCAGCTCTTTGAACTTCAGCAGGCATTGCTACTTGCGAAGAAGGTCCTTTTAAAAAGTTCACTTTAAAATATCCATATGTGTTTGAGTGAGAAGGCACTATTTAGTATTGCTGTTTCCAGAACATGATTTGTCTGTCTTCCCCTCCTGTGATTATGCTGCTGCATCGTTCATTCATCCACATACATGTTACAGTACCTAGGAAAGAGACAGGTGTACATCAGATACTTGTTTCACTTACCATATTATCCTTATCTTTAAATCTTGGTCTTATTTGGTTAATGCATTGCTAGATTTGCCCATAATCATCTAGAGCTGCACTCCACACTACTGTTGTGCATATATATTATAGGCCCTGAGCCAGAGATCATCATTGCAACCAACTTTCAGGTGCCATTTCAGATTCTAGGGCCACAGCTATACATCCATATTTTGATGAATTCTGGTCTTTTGTTTCTCAGGCTGTACAATGGAAAATACTTCACATTAAGTTCTAAGGTATAAAACAGAGCCCCAGGGTATGATACATTCAAACACACCTAACCAGAATCAATATATTAATATCCCACTACTTAAAAGATTTCAAAGTATACTTGCAGATTTTTAAAAGTTGAGAATTTCACACATACCAGAATGTCCTGCGATTCTTTCTATTATCTTCCCTCCAACAATATCCCAAACCAACAATTCTCCTGACTGACTTCCTGATAAGATGGTGTTGCCATCCCATTTGAAACATCTGCAAAAAGCAAGTTGTTAGATCACAAGTGAGTCAGACAATGCTACTTAAAACCAACCCTCAGCCTCGTTTTTAGCCAAGCAGCTGCTGTGTGCCCAAGTTCTAGAAGACATCTAGTTAACCCCCTGCAGTGTAGGAATCTCAACACACAGTTTCCCATCCAATCTGAAACCATACTGGACATATACACTAAACCCTTTGAGCAAATGCTACACACAAAATACATTCTTATGTAAGTATCCATGTATGCATGTGCGCGCACACCATTGCATAAAGTGATGTTTTTCACTATCTAAACACACCAATACTGATGGAGGTCATTGGAATAACTTGATCTAACTCAGGAGCAAAGAACTTAATGCCGGCTGGATTACAGCTCCTACCATCCTTGTCTATTGGCCATGCTGCCCAAGACTGATGGAAGTCGCACAGAATCTGGAGGGCATGCATGTTGATGGCTATCCATGATTCTACTGCAAATCCCTATATGAAACAGCAGTGCATTCCAAAACTTACCTTTGGGGTTCCTCCGAGCGCATGGAAGAGATGATCATTCCAGTTTGCACATCTGTCACTTTAAAGTAGCCATCTTCTCCTGTGCTTAGTAGGTGCCGGCTATCTGTGAAACAAGGTAACTGCTCTGGATTATTTAAATCAACCCCACAAAATACATTCAGTCCATTCCCATGCATATTTAAAACAGGTCTCATTAAGTTCTATGGATAGCTACTAGTGAGCAAATCCCATTGCATGGCACCATAAAGGCTGCAGTGCCAAAACTCAACCCACGTGGTGCAACAGGAGGCTTGTTCACATAGGACACTGAACACAGATACAAGCTGTCTTGACACATGAACAACTGTTTATATGAGTGTACACTAATTTGTACAGCTCAACGGTTGTACACAATAAAACAGACTCTACATTTTAACATTACATGGTAATAGCTGAGTGTACAGTTCCAGTATTGTGTTTACAGTTTCACTAACACTACACTTCCTCAATGTTATGTATGAATACCCTTTGTGTGTAGTTTTAAAATAGGCAGCTTTATCAATTACTTGTTTGAGTAAATAACAAACCATCTCCTAGGCATCAGCACAATTCCTCTTAAAAATAAGCTAAACTAGCAGCGTTTTATTTTTATTTTTAAACTACCATAGGCAACTGGATGGGTGCTTATAAATCCAACTTAGCTGGTGGCTTGCTTTACCAAAACATCTCTTGGCAGAAAGGTTTATTTAAGCAAACAAAATTATTTGGATGGCTTTTTTGTTTCAGGCCAACAACGCAATACAAATGATTTAACATTAGGATGTTTTGGTAGGCAAGCTACTCCCAATTTTCATGGGTTACTTCATTTCCGGTCTTTTGTATGACTGCAGAGTGAGGGTGGATACACACTAAAATTACAAAGCCCTAATCAGAGGGGAGCACGTTGGTTGCAATCCTACATACACTTTACGTAGGAGTAAGCCCAACCGAACACACTGGAGCTTGCTTCTGAATAAACATGCATATGGTCACACTGGATATATCAATTCAATAGGAATGTCTCTGAATTATCTCGCAGCAGACTGAAGTATTTTTCTCTTCACAATGTATATATTTTAGAAGACATTAACACATAACATACCGGGACTAAAAGCAGCATCAGAGACAGTCCCTGAATGGCATGGAAGTTGATGCAAGATAGAAGCAGTAGTAACATCCCAGATACTAATGGATCCTTCTTTTGTTCCTGATGCCAGCAGGGTATATGCAGCATTCAAGTTGATTGTATTTACCTAGGTAATTAGGCATATGTATGAGATGATTAAAGAAGTAACAAGCACCATGAAGCAAGAAAGGCAAGTAAGCAAGCATCTAAAAGGCAGTCAGTCATGACTAGAGCACTTAAACATTCAAGGCAATATGCACAGTGGCCTGGATCCTAGGGTCTTATAAACAGTCAATGTAATGGCTTTATTGTAATGTATTTTTTTGTTTTTATCCTTTGATTCTTAATTTTTTGTAAGCTGCTTAAAGACTCTTGTAGTGAGATGCTAACAAGTCAAATAAACAAATCTTCTACATGGTCCTTTTTGGCAGTGCTTCGGGGAACTATTACTGAATTCTCCTAGTGTTACAGATCTATATTCCAGGAATACAGGCATAATTTGTTAAGATGCAGATAACTACATTTTCAAAATTTAAGCTCAACATGTAAATGATTAAAAAAATTATACATTAGTTTTTCTTCATGAAGATACATTGCTGGGTTAATCTAATCTAAATACACTTGTTTTATGTATTAAACAAGTCCAAATATACAGACACTGCCAACATACCTATGCTGAAATCATCAAGAGGAGTGGCTTTCATATTGCTTTTTGAGACCGAGATTGTAAACCCATAAGAACCTGTTGTCTCATTCTACGTAAAGCAGCAGATATATAGATGGTAGTATGTAAAGATAATCAAACACAGAGCATTTTCCACAAGTGGAAAACTGAAATCAAGTTTTCATTTAAAAACAGGAAAAAGGTTTCTCATATATGTGTGTATGCATGTGGACATGTGTGTGCCCCTCTTCCTACTTCCCGTGGTTTCTCAAACCTATGTCTAAATAATCACTGGAATATGAAGAAAACATCACATTGTATTTGCATATTGCTGTTACCAATTCTGACCTTTCAGGCAATGGCAATACATCTTTAAAATAAGCCTTCACACAGACTTCCCTCCCGCCCCACCCCCAAAATTTGTTTTGCTGAAGTTTGAATTGAAACAAAATATATGTGCACACAAGTATCTTAATACTCACACTAACATCATGTTCCAATTCAGCAAGCAATTCAAACCGCTTCTTGGTGCCCAGTAAGTCTGCAGGAATGCACTGCCACACCTAGAACACAAATATTTGAACTGACGTAAGCTTCTCCTTTGGCCAGATATGACAATTTAAGTAACCTAAAAGTAAGAGCTAATTTGTAATTTTTGGGATGGAGAGCTTGTGGCTTTCCAGATGTTGCTGGACTCCCAACTTCCATCGGCATCAGCCAGCACTGCCAGTTGTCAAGGATAATGGCAGATTAAGCCAACAACATGAGTCAACGGTGTGATGCAAACCAAGCCTTACAGTTGGGGGAGTTGCATATGTTTGGCCTGGGTAAGAGGAGACTGATAGATATTTGAAGATGGCTATCAAATCTCCTAAGGGGCTGTCACACGGAAGATGGAGCAAGCTTGTTCTCTCCTGCTCTGGAGGGTAGGACTCAAACCAATGGCTTCAAGTTACAAGAAAAGAGATTCCAACTAAACATCAGTGGGAACTTTCTGACAATAAGAGCTGTTCCATGGTGGGAGGTTGTGGACTTTTTTTCCTTGGAGGTTTTTCAGCAGAGGTTGGATGGCCATCTGTCATGGATGCTTTAGCTGAGATTCCTGCATAGCAGGGGGTTGGACCAGATGACTAGAGACCTTGGGTCTCTTCGTCTATGATTCTATAACAGCAGCATCTGGAGGCTGCCCAGTCCTGTTTTAAATTCTCAGCAACAGCAGCATGGAAAAAATGGGGGAAATTCATGGATGAACTACCCAACAGGCACTACAGGAAATAACCACCACATAGAGATTATTTTAAAATGTTTAGGCCAATGCTTTGAATCTAGGGATTCAGGCAATTCGTTTGTTAATTACCCTACAATGGTGATCCTACTGTATTTCTTACCCCATGCTTCTCTCACTACTTCCTAATAGTTGGAACAGTCAGTCCTGCCACCACAAACAGGTGACTTACATGGACAACCAGAGCCGTTTCTGACAAATCTAGGATACAATGGCAATCCTTGCTCAAATGATTAAAAGCTTTCATCACAACAAATTCATATCAAGTGGAGAACTCTACGTACTTTTACAGTTGAATCCCAAGATGCAGAATATAAACGATCATTGTGCCAACAGATCTTGCTGACAGCATCATCGTGTCCCATTAATGTATCCTGCCTCCTTGCAAAAGCTATTGAATAGAAATAGCTAACAGAAATAATAAAATAGATATAAATATTTTAAATAGTTATATTTCAAAGCACAAATTTTTATTCAGTTCATTTATTATTTTAATCAGTCCACGTTTCCAACTTTGAAAAAGTGCTTCCAATATAAAAAGGCCTTACCTCCCCAGTAAGGCAGTTAGCAGGTGAAATATATTCATTTTTAGCTCTTTAATATAAAAGCTACCAACTGGTATTATATACAATTCGGTACAAGGTAAAATTACATACATATTGTTGTCCCATGAAGAACATACGACAGTAGTATCGCCCGGTAGGATTAAACAAGATGACAGAGCCTATGACAAAAAGATGACAATGTTCAATTTAATGATAGACTTGCAAGAACACATTAGTACATTACAAGCCCGTCTCATCGCAAGCACCATCTGTGTCCTAGGAGCTCAAGATCTGATTGTGCAGCGGCACAAACCAATTTTGCTATTGCGAAAAAGAAGAGAAAATAAACACATTTGAACAAATATCTATTACTAGAAGCTTATAACACAATTTGTTTGTGTGCAGAGATGAAGCTCTAAGGTAATGGAGCTACAGAAGGGGTGGAAAGCATTTTAAGCTCTGTTGCACATGCATGTTGGTGGGTCCGGGGCTGCACACAGAGGTACAGCACACATATTCTTACAAGCCTCTCCCTTTCCTACCCCCACTATATTGGACTCCTGAGCGATGCTCTTCTCTCTCCAGGTTAAAAAGATAATGGTCATTAACAGAGATTGCCCATCCACTGATTCATCCAGGGTGGAGAAAAGAGGGAGGTGCCTCCTTTCCCCAGAAACACACTAACATACACACACTCCAGCTTCTGCTCTCAGAGACTCTACTGCAACAACTCCAGCTGGTATGAAGTACTTGCCAGTCACTACCCATCCCCCAACACTGCACTCTGCCACTATCGCCTTCCCATCGCTTCCGTATCAAATGGTACAGCTTCAGTGTTCAACAACAGAGTGCACAACACAAAGCATCCAGAAGATGCTATGGGAGCCTATGACCTCACTCTTGTTGGACTCCCAGCTCCCTCTCTTTCCAGATCTCTTGTCATGCTGCCTGGGGCTGATGAGAGTCAGGAGTCTTAACATTATCTGGTTGTTATGAGCTGCTGCCAGAGCACGGAAGGAACCTGCAAATGGACAGGGGAAGCTGCAAGATTGACTGCAACTGTGGTAAATTTCCATAGGTTGGCAAGGGGTTAACTGGGTTGGGTTCTATTCCAATCACGTGCCCTGCTGTAGGCAGGAACAATGATTTGTGGGAGGTCAGCTTGCTCTACTCAGTTTTTTCCTCCTGCCTAGATGGAGCAGATTGTCAACTGGGGGACAACACAAGGTGAAAGGCACATATGGCTGTGTGATGTTCACTTGTGAGTTATAGGTTTACTACACAATGTCTATTAAGAGTTGGAAGTAGCTCTCTAGACATTTGAGCAGCGAAAAAGTTCAATTACAGCATACCTGCTAGAATTAAACTGGTAAGCTACAGTAGTTACCGGGGGGGGGGGCGGAATACGTTGTATTAAATTATGGAGACATTCCGCAAGATCAGCTGTAAGATTATACAAGCCTGGAAGCACTCACCATGTTTGAAAAGGATATACTCCGCTGCAGCATTTTTGATTCAGCAGAAAACATCTTCAGGGTTGAATCTAATGCAGATTTTGAGAGAAGAATGGAAAGCAGCACCATATCAGTGATTTCCAAGTTGTTTTATCAAATCAACAAGATACAAAGATCCCATCAGCAAACTGCTGGAGTATACTTCTATGCAGAGCCAGACTGAGACATGTGTGAGGCCACACACACTGAGACTACACGTGGAACTGCTGACACGTGCAAAATTAATCTTTGCACTATGCTTTTATTTCTTGCACAAGGAATATATCATGGTTCCCCTGAGGCAATCTGTCCCCAGTTACCAGAAGAACAGCAGCAGAGTGCTGCGGGCAGCTAAACCGCCACTAGAAACAGCAGCAAAACTTTTTCCCCTATTAGAGAAAACCTAGAAAAACAAACTTCGGCCACCCTGTCTTCAATGGTAAGTCCATCTCCCACCAAAAAGTTATCGCATTTGCACCTCTCCCTGAGAATCACCATTAAGCTCCACTTTTGTGGGGCTGAATGGTGCTGCAATGGGGAGGATATTTTGCCCAGCCTGAGTATAAACACGGGTCCCCTCCCAACAGGGGCAAAAAAATTTCTGTCCTCTGGATTGTCCCCCACGTGTTCTCTCTCTCGACTGTGACTCTGAGCCACAGATCAGGCCAGCTGTCTGAGCTTTCAAAGCACCTCTACAGGTGGAGAGGCTGCCCAGAGCAAGGAGAAGCTGGTCTGGAAGGGATGTGCCACTAACAGTGTCCTTTCCTGGCCAGTTCTCCTCAGAACAGAAAGGACACTTTCTTTTTAGCTACATAAATACCAGCACTCAGATTGATTTTGCTATTAGTATAGATCATCCTGCATAGATCATCCTGTTCTGCATAATTTATGCTGTATTTTTTTCTCCCATCATGGGGAGAGGCAATAAACAATGTGGGATACTAAAATTCAATTGCCAACCTTTGAAAACGTTGCTTTGTAGAGCTTCCCTAGCTTATGAAATGTCAGTAAGCACTGATGTGAACTGTGAACTCTGTCATAGTAATCAGAGATAAAAACATGATGTGGGATACTTTTTTAAGAAAAACAACAAAAACTGATTTAAAAAAAGAAAAGAAAGCCAGCTTCTAACCGCATACCATGCATACCCTGTGCTTTTTCTCCACACAACCTACAACTCTGACCCAAGGCTTCTAGGAATATAGTGTGGGGAAAAACCACAAATACTGCTTTTACAGATCATAGGTCTCTGCTGAGTCTATTCAAAGAGGAATTCTATGCTGACCATTGGAAAGGGGCTACACAGTGTCACTGAATAATGTTCGTATTACTGAGGCTTGACAGCACGACTCACCTTGAGATGTAGTGAAAATAGAAGACTGGTTGGAACTGTAAGGCACAGCAATTCCAGTGATTGCCCTGTTCAAAACATAGCAAGGAACTGTGATTAATATCTGGCAGTGTAAACCTAATCAGGTCTACTAAGTAGTAAGTCCCACCAAATTCAATGGTTAAGTGTGCTGTTTGCATCTGAAAATGTTGATACACTTTTACACAGTTCTGGAATCGCATAAATCACAAAATTCCAGCAATCTGTTGCCCAAGACACCCCTACTGAAGCAAGTAGAATATTCTAGTGTCAGACTAGTAAGTCATCTGTGCTTCCTGATGGTGGCTGGCTAATGCTGGTATGTCAGCCATAACTATGTTTGCTATCTGTGTTGGCTACGCATTTGTTTCCAGGCTCATTTAATATGCTGGGCTTTTAAAGTCTTAAACTGCCTGGGTCTAATGCACTTAAGATACCCACAAGGCATCTCTTTCCAAATAGGCATTGCCTTTTGAAATCGATATTTGACAGCTGCTGCTTTTGTATTATTTTCAATCTTGTAACTGAGTATCACTTTTTAATATTTGATTTAATCACTTTAGTTTCTGTATATTTATTTGCTGCTCTGAATATTTTATAAGAAGTCAGGATAAAAATATGCAGTAAATAAAAAAAAAACCCAACTGATATCAGTAAGGACAATCATGTCATTTAGCCTAATCCTTGCATTGCAAATCCACGTATTTGACCCCTGTTCCAACAAAGCAAAATCCCCCTCCCTCAAAATATTACATTTTTCTTCTAATTGACTAGGCTGCACTGTGTTCTACAAGGTTCAAAGTGTTTTACTGTCTCATTCTAGACACCTCCTCTGTATGCTGTATGCTACAAAGTTTACCCTCTGTGAATCTTGTGTTGCCCATCTATCTTTAATCTGGTCATGTGGTTCCAAGCAAGCGTTATACTTTCTTCTGTTAGATCTTCAAAAGATTCTTCACCTGGAGAAACTAACAGACAATAAAATATGTCAGCTAATAATGAATCCCTCCCCCCCCTCAAACGAAATACAGTAGCAGGGAAGAGATATATTACAGATTTCATATAGTGAGCCAACTACAGTTTATTCAGCCTCTTTCACATTCCCTTCTGTCTCCATGTTGCCTCCTAAAGAGCATTTTATGATACCCTACCAGTTTAACCAATGTGGAGTGTGTGGTGTGAGACATGGTTGAAACAATGGAAGGCCACACTGTTAAAGTGCCAGAAGAGCACCAAAGCTTAAAAAGTAGGCTGAAACTTGAGTTATCACATTTAGAAACTCTGGGGTTTTTTCCTTCCAAGGAAGGGCCAATTTATCTCTACATACCCCCTTCCCCCCGAATTGCAACTTCCTAGGCAATAATAACAGCATGCAAAAGCCCCTTTCCCACTCTGACTGCTGGAAGGGATTTTTGCAAACTGATACACCACTATTTTTCAGAGCGTCTGACCTAAATCTTTATATTGAACTTGTTGGACAAAGAAACACAATTAAAGTCAGCTGAATTATCAAATACAGTACATAGACCCTCAGGGCCCCTTCCAACTCTGCAATTCTATCATTCTAACAGCAATATCTGTAGCCCCACCAAATTTACCTGGTGACTCAGGCATCGAAAAATCATGACTGGATGCTCGAGGAAAACTTTTGAACTTCGGGATAATCCTCCGAGGATGAGGGATTGTAAATAACTGTTTTGGAGTCTGTCCAAACTCTAGGATTTGTGTCAACAGCGCTACTCGCTCATTTGGGTCCATATTACTTCATGGAAAAAGAGAAGAAAAACGTAGGGATATCAAATTTGGTTATACCACATTAATCCATCTAGAACAGGAAGTATTTATAACTCCAGTTTATATGTTATGACAACGACAGGCATGCATTAACCAGAACTGCTTTTTCCCTTACTTGCGTACGCAAATGGATTTTATATTAACTCCCCAAATATGTCATGCATGTATGCAGTAAGCATCGTTCCTGCTGACATGCACATCAGATTTATGGACCTTACAGAACAAAAATGGAAGCCACAAGACATTCAAAATAGCTGGCAAAGCTACTTTATCATGAGTACATTGTAAGGCCTTAGAGAAAGAAATTATGCTTGTAATGAGCTGATAGGGTACAATGTTCCCATTTTCATAAGCATTTTTGCATTACCAGCTTATGTACACTAGCTTCAGTGTGGAGTTCCTGGGTGTTCAAAACAGAGGTTCCTGGGAGGTTAAGAGGGTAAAAGATGAAGGACCCCTGAACAGTTACGTCCAGTCAAAGGTGACTATGGGATGCCTCGCTCATCTCGCTTTTCAGGCCGAGGGAGCCGGCGTTTGTCCACAGACAGCTTTCCGGGCCATGTGGCTAGCATGACTAAACTGCTACTGGCACAGAGGACCGTGATGAGTGCGAGAGCACACAGAAACACTGTTTACCTTCCCACCACAGTGCTCCCTATTTATCTGCTTGTACTGGTATGCTTTTGAACTGCTAGGTTGGCAGAAGCTGGGGCAGAGCAACAGGAGCTCACCCAGTCGTGCGGATTCAAACTGCTGACCTTCTAATCAACAAGCCTAAGAGGCTCAGTGGTTTAGACGAGGGGTAGGCAACCTAAGGCCCATGGGCCAAATGCGGCCCAATCACCTTCTCAATCCGGCCGACGGACGGTCCGGGAATCAGAGTGTTTTTACATGAGCAGAATGTGTCCTTTTATTTAAAATGCATCTCTGGGTTATTTGTGGGACATAGGAATTTGTTCATATTCCGCCCCCCCCCCCCAATATAGTCAGCCCACCAAATGGTCTGAGGGTTGGTGGAGTGGCCCAGGACTGAAAAAGGTTGCTGACTCCTGGTTTAGACCACGCCACCCACTCCGGTTGAAACAAATCAGCATCTCCATGCTGAAGACAGTGTGCAAGTGGATACAAGGATGGCAAGGGGTGCGGGCCCAGGGCTCATTTCTGGCTTCATAAGCCGTGGTTTAGCCAGCCAAGAAAGCTGCAGTCCAAGTGATTCCATGTGTTTCTTACTGTAGAAGCAGGAAACTTGCAGCTTTTCAACTTTTCTTTGTAAGTTATGAGAAATTATTTTTCCCTATCTGCAGTGCCTGCAGTTTAGATGCCACCAGCTCTGTGGTAAAGGGCACCTCACCAACTGTTTGCAATTACAAGTGGGACCTGCAACGCAATGTTGTAGTGCAGAGTGCCTCTTCAAGCGAGCTAGCCATGCCTTCTTCCATGATATTCCCTTCTAGATTTTGTACACACATACACTCTGACAGTCTCTGACAGTCCATCAGCTTTCTGTGGCCAATGAGCATCCTCACTGGACTATTCGGTGGGGTTTCCCAGGAATTGGTTTGTTTGCTTAACTTCTACAAACCCTGAAGATTTCCCAAGCCTGCTAATACTTTCCTTTTATGCATGGATGGTGCTGTTTTGGCTACTCCCAGAGAAGGTTGCTATTAGCACATATGCCTGACTTTTTAAAGAATCCAGCAACAAACAGCCCCATTCTATCAAGATACATGCAAAAAGCTCACCACAAAGAAAACTGGTACGAAAACATTTTATGTTGGAAGAGAACATAATATTTTTAATTAAAGCTGGAGGTAATCTGCCCACCCAGTCCTTTACTGTTAACTCAGTTACCTGTTCAAGTCTACTCCTCCTTCATAGGTTAATGGATGAAATACTAAAAAGAAGCAGAGAGCAGACACACAAAGTGAAAATGTTTCTGATTACAGGACTGTTGGTTCAACAAAACAATACTACAACACTCTGTCGTTCTCACAACCCTGTCACCTTATACACAGTAAATTTCAACTAACTTTATTTTTTAAAAAATTCGTACATCTGACTTTATCATGGCTATAATTTACAGCGTACATAGAAGAATTTCCTAACTGATATGCTCTGCACACCGTGTTCCTTCATGAAAAACCCTGATATTACCACCACAAAGTTTAACAGTTTAAAGTATCCATTTGCATTTTCTTTTTATAAAAGTGGGGTAGGGGGGAATCACCGTTCTGAGCTGCAATGGCCTCGTTTCCCTTCTGCTTGTAGCCAAACACTAAGTCAATCCATTCATGGAGATGTTCTGACACATACTGGCTTTCTAAAGCGTCTTGGCTCTTCTGGAGAAAATCATCAGCATCTGAAAGAGATGGTGCCAATGTTTCCTTGTTAAGTGAGAATAAAACCCCCACTCCCTCTTCCCTCTCAGCTTTTTTTTAAAAGAAAGAACTCACTAGAAGCGTTGGGTGATAATACTAATCAGCACTTCAGACATGTTTCGAAGAATCATTTTTCAGGATACAACAACTTTTTATTAAACATACCCAGTGGAATCCTTTTGGTGGCCTTGCAGTAACAGAAGGATTTTAAAAAATGTTTTTATTTATTTTCATGGTACAGAAGATAAATTTTGAGAAAACAATTGTTGCAACAGTAAACAACGAATAACTTGTCCTGACAAAATTACAAACTTTTATCATGCCATGTGTTAAAGTTTCATTTGATTGCTCTCTTTGATCCAGTGGATACCTGGAGGGAGGGGATTCCGGCCAATTTGCCCATCGTCTTCCCCCCTCCATGTCACCTTCCACCCTGATGGTTGCAGGTGGGAGAGGGAACTGGCAAAAACTGCCTCTTTTCTGCTGTTACTGAAGTCATCAGCTAGATCAAAAGATCCTTCTGTGAGTGCAAAGGCACAAACCAGATTTCACCCATCGTATTTAAATAATGAAAAGAACTACTCTGGATACATGGAAGAAGGAATGGTACAAATACACCGACTATTTCCCAGGCTCTTGAGATGAATGAAAGCAGATCTCCAAAGCAGATTATTAAGTGCTTCCAAAATTCTATTTACCCGATGCCCAAGGGGGAAGTTCTACATTGTCCACAATCTTTCCTCCTTGCGTCTTCCCCAAGTCCAATTTCAGACTATTCAGTAGGAAACTGGAATCATTTTCATAGAACTCAGGAATCAACTAAAAATAAATAAAAAGTGTGGAACAAGATTGCGTTGTTGTTATTATTATTACTGCTGCGGTACTTAAAAACTATAATCAGTGTTTCCAAACTTAGCACACGGGAGGGGGGGGGAATTCATATTGGATGTGACCACACAACAGACTTCAGTGTTTCAAAAGGTATCTCACAGCTTGACTTACGTTCGCTGCTCTGGGTTTTGATTTGAAAAATGAAACAGAAAACCTACGCATCAAGCAGAACTGGATGACTCAGCTCCCTTGCCAAGTACAGACCACCACTTAAGAGGAAACAAGCATCAGCCCTGGCCACTATCCAGAACCTAATTGGGTCTCATTCAGCATAAAGCTCGCCTTATAAACATGGACTGGAACTGCAGATTGTGGGCAAAATATGACAATGCTGCCAAAGACTGCATCCCTGGCAAGTTCTTCCCGTCTTCTCTGCAATATTTAGGAACACTTATTGATGACACATTGCACAAGTTTCCCACTATAGTTCACCGGCCAGTAGGGAAAAGTATAATTCAATGCCACAATACAGGTATGTACTGCTACAAATTGCAGAGGAAAAATTGATGCCAAGATGCCCTTATATTGCTGCTGGTTTGCACTCCAGGCGTACCTGGTCATAAGCAGACTCCTAACCTAGATCCCGGAAGTGCATTCAGACCTAAAAATAGAATCCAGGTGGCCTGCATGGTTTTGCCAGTGAACCTACTAGAATCTACTAGATTAAAGTCTAGAAGGCTTATCATAAACAGCAGCCTACACATAATATGTCAAAAGACACCACTAAGATCATGAAGGTGCTCTGCCAGGTTTCAAGTTTAAGCAGCTGCGTTCTGCCAAATTGGCACACGTGTCCATGTAATTCAGTATTATTGTCTGACTACAGATCAGTCATGAAGAGGTCCCATATAATCTGATCCTTATAACCAGAAATGCTGGGATTCAAGATGGGACCTTCTGCATTCAAAGCATGCGTTCTACCATTGAGCTGTGGCCCCATCCCAATGGTTCTGATAAGGCCCTGAACTGATTTATTGTAAATTGTTTCTGCATTCTGTACTTTTAAAAATGGAATGCTGCAAACTCTCAGTAGGCAAGAGAAGAAGAAGAATTTGGATTTGATATCCCGCCTTTCACTCCCTTTAAGGAGTCTCAAAGCGGCTAACATTCTCCTTTCCTTTCCTCCCCCACAACAAACACTCTGTGAGGTGAGTGGGGCTGAGAGACTTCAAAGAAGTGTGACTGGCCCAAGGTCACCCAGCAGCTGCATGTGGAGGAGCGGAGACGCGAACCCGGTTCCCCAGATTACGAGACTACTGCTGTTAACCACTACACCACACTGGCTCTCAGAGGAAGAATGGAAGCAAGTTAACATAAACGGAAGTATTGGAGGCTCTTTACCTCTTTGAAGTCTGTTGCTCCATCTAAACAGTTCTTCCAGGTTTCTGCAATACTGGATATGAATAGCAGGAGAATAAAACAAAAATAAAGTTTCAGATATGTCTTATTTCAGAGCAAGATTTTGGTAGCAAAATAGGTTATTTATTTATTTTATGTCACCTAATCTTTTAGGAGCCATGCAAAAATTTAGTCTACAAAATCAAAACACAAATAAAACAATATATCAAATGCTGTATCAGCACACAAAAAACAACACCAATACATAAAAGGATTACAATAATTCCATTAGGGTAGATCATAACAGAGACTAAAATAAGCTCCTCAACCTTCAAGTAATACTTAGGAACTTTGGAAACAGAAGGCTCCCTTATACAGAGTGAGGCCACTGTCTCATCCAGTTTAGTACTTGTCCACACTGACAGGCTGTGGCTTCCCGGCATATTCAGACAAGGGTCTTTCCCTTTTCTATCTGAAGATGCTGAGGACTGAAACAAGACCTTCTGCATGCAAATGAGGCATTGTTCACTCCTGTGCTATTCTACCCCTCCTGATATGTACTAACTTAGATACTCAACAAAAACACAGCAATGCCATTAAAATACAAGAAACAAACCTGTTGAACATTCTGTCAGGATGATCGAACTTTCCATTTTGTAAGCAAAGCATGTATTCTGGTGCTGTGGAAGCAAGACAGCTCAGATATCACACCAGATGAGTCAAGCTTGACGACCACAAACTCAGGAGAACCTTGGCAGGTGACTTACCAACTCTGACAAGATAAAACAGAACATAACCTGGTGACGAGTAGTGGCTCCCATACATAAACTTTGGTTCTGGCATTTCCCGATAACGTATCTATCAGCGGAGAAAGAGAGAGGGAGAAAAATTGCTCAGTGACAATTTCCTTTGGTGGTTTGTTAAGAGGCTGGGAATCAGGTCTGGCCCAATACAATTTGGCGCCTGAGGTGAGCCACAAAATGGTGCCGTCCCCAGCCAGGGAAGAAGTATGAGGGGTGTATGTGAAGCTCTACACTGGAAACAGGGGTGGGAGGTGAGGAGGTGGGCAAATCCAGCCTCCAAGGAACATGTTGAAGTTATTGCCACTGAGGGAGCAGCAGTGGATGATGCATCCTTGGAGGCCGGATCTGCTGCCTCTGTGGATCCTGCCACTCTTTGTGCAAATATCAAAGCATGTCAACATTGGGCAAACACTTAATGCTGTTTAGATCCTGCAGTTTGATAGGAACAGGTGGCTTAACTGCTTTGGGTAGGGAAGGGAAGGGAAGGGGTCAGAGCCAAATAATTCTATATACTAAGTTGCAGTTCAATAGGAAATACACTGAACTTTACTGAAACATGAAATATTTCTCATCCATTATAACATAACTGTCCATATTTAGAAATGCACTAGATCAACTGGTTTTTTTTAAAAAAATACGAAGTGTAAAAAATCACAGAAAACAAATACATACCAACAGCCTTTCCAGCCTTTCTTTATTTAGTGCACCTACTGGCTTACTGAGGTCCCGAAAGGTTTCTGGCTTTGTCAAGTCTACAAAAAGAGTTCAAAAGAATTAATCTTCTGCAACAACTAAACAGCAATGGCCAGTGATTTTTTTTTTCTCCTTTCCAGTGCATTTGGAAAAGTACTACCATGGCAAATCTTATCCAACTGCCAACTTTCTCATATTAGCCCTTAATCTTTTAAAATCACAACTGCAAGTTTCATTTTGCAGGAATTGGGACAAATCAAGACACGCATGTGTTCACTAACATTCACTCATTGGTTTGACTATGAACCGAGAATAAGGATCCACTTTTACCACAAAATGGAGTGCAGTGGAATGGGAGCAAAAATATCCCTCTCTCCCGCTTTCTCTGCTTTTGAAGACTCTCCACCCCACCAAGTTGATGGACTCCTGGAATCAGAGCCAGTCTAGAGAGAGGAAAGACTGAAGCAGCAAAGTACCTGAAGATAAAGGGAGGGGGGGCAGGAGAAAGAGGGCAGATTCCACTTTCATCCACAGCACACTCCATTTAGTGAACAAAGGAGATCCCCACACTTCTGCTTTTTGCTAAGCTTGCGCTCAGTGGTTTGGTTATGCATGCGTACATCTGGGTTTGCCTCAAGTTTACCAAATCAGGAAGGCAGAGAATTAAGATACCCATTTTACTTTTGGAGCCATTTTAGTTCTGAATGGTAGCCTGTCTGTGAAATTGTAAACTCAGTTATGCTTCCTTCAATATCTCAAAACAGCATTTATATCAATCAAGTTAATAGTTCTCCAAAATGGTTTGACAGATGTTTTACTCTTCCTGAGGTAAGCAAGTTGAGGCAAAGGCAGATCTAGCTTACATACATGCTTTGAAAGTTCTAAACACAGGTATCCCCAAACTGTTGATAATGATCTCAAACTCCACTGGATTTTGTGCAAGCCTTGCCGAATGAACAGAAGCTATGCAGCAATGTTTATTGGATTACTCAAATTCTGCTTAGCTCTATGTACTATGATCATTAGCATTTGACCCTCACCTTTTCGCTGATTCCGTTTCAAATTTTCATGACACAACCTGCATATTCCTTATATGAAGTACACTAAACCACTGAATGCCGAGCAACTACTTAACTGAGTGCTATGCACCACTGACACCATGGACAGATGAATGCAATGCAACGAAGAGTCTGGAATAAGAAGCAGCCTTTGGCAACGTAAGAATCAGAATTCACAAGAAGCATGCTCTGCACCATCCCATGACATTCGCTCTTGAAAAAGAAACTAGCAATTCCTTGCTCTTGTTCTTCTACACAGGTTCTTACCCAATTCTGAACTAGAATAATCAGCTATGATCCATGGAAACACGGGATACTGGGAGAGGTCATTGCAGCTCCGATCAGCCAGATTGTTGAGGTGAAGGAGGTACTGGTAGTTGGAAATATGCCCTCGTTGCCATTGTAACATGTAACTCTCTGCTGTGTGCTCTGTAACATGATTCTCTAGACACCAGACAACAGAGAGCAGAGGAGAGATAAATGCCATTTGAAACGACTCTTCTGGAAGCACTGCATACCTAACGGGCATAACGGGTGCACTATTAGTTTTCTCTACACTTATCCTTCAAGGCATCTAGGGCTTTCAGTCATCACTCATGAAGCAAGGCAGACCACTGGTCTGACAAACTGTTCACTGACCACCAAGATGAGCAGATTAAACAATCTCCCTCAAATTCACTAACAAGTCTTTCCTGGTCTTTCTATAGCATGTGCGCCCAGTTATGAAATAAGAAGGATAACGTGGGGGCAGGGAAGAAAGGAATCATGACAGTGAGAACAATATATTGTCGGACAGCGATTCCACTCCCTTAATCTTTTTGGCAAGGGCTTCACAAAGTAGCATTTAATGGGAACTAAAGAAAGCAGACACAGATAGGCTGAGATGGCAATACTTAAGGACAGAAGAGAGAGGGATAAAAGGCTACAACAGGGAACAGAAGCCCGGGGCAGCACTCTTGCAGGAAAATACAGGTTAGGAGTTCTGTATGTAGGAAGATGTTTGTCGGTGATGAGTAAGGGATTTTTTCCACTTTCATACGTTCATGGATAACAATGCATGCCAACTGCAAATAAATATTAGGCAGGCTTCACATCATCAAAGTTTTTAGTTTTGTTTACTAAATACAAGTAAAATAAACATGCTAATTTTGATCATTCTCTTAGGTAATATGCACTGGGGGGAAATCAGTTTGCATTGGAATTTTTTCTGATACATACTACCCTAACCTTCATTTGAAAAAATCAAATGCAAAATTCTCTATGAAACCCACATTACTGTTACTTACCCTACAACTTAAGGCAGCATTTGACCAGTTGCAAATGTCCAATTGCTTTCTACTACTTATCCTACACATTACTGCTTTAAGGTGGTGCTCAAAATTTTCCACAAAGATCTCCACAAAGCCAAAAACAACTTCTAATTCAACGTGTTAGCGTTAATTTCATTCCAACTTCACATTCATTCCAAAATAATACACACTTAACTTCCCCTCAAGTTTAAATCTATACCAAAACAAAACAAAACAAACAAACACGAGACAAACTTTATCTCACACACCCCAATTTGCCAAAAAGAGCAGTTATTTATACCTAAATATGTTGCCATGAAGAAATAGGCATTGTCTCTGTCCTGAGTGTTGTAGAACTTCAAATAGATGTCCGAACACAGATTGTTCTCAGTGCAAAATACTTCGAGACCCTTTCAAAATTGGAGAGAGACAGAAGTGAAAAAGTTCATCAGGCAGCTTTATAATTCAGGATACTAGCACAGTACAGTTCAGGTGAAGCAAAGCCTCTGGTATTTTTGTTGTTGTCCTCATAATATTAGAATTTGCTTGTCAGAGGAATACAAGCTATTCTCTATACACCAATGAAAGGTACAGCATATAACGTAGTTTTAAACCTACTATGCTTTTACTAGAAGGGCAATTGTTGCTACTTTAAATTTTTTCTGTCAAATTTTCTCTGCTCAACACATTTGTTCACAAGAGCTATCATAGGTTTTATAGAAATATGAAATAGATATGAACGTTGCAACATGATATGATGTGCTTTAATCCATGATAGGACTTGCTATGCCATAAACTACTGAGCAACTGCACTGTAACCAGGTACCTTTATTCCCCAATCATACGGTTGACACAGATAAGCCAACATGAATGTCAAACTGGAGCCACAGTTTGAGGGATGGCGCAAAAAGTGTTCTCTTTGGAATGTCAAGATGCAAGTTTAAACAACGAAGCACATTTGTGTGACCAAGGGACAATAGTAAAATTTACTCTTACCAACGGCAATAGACCGTGCCTTCTTTTATAGATACGTCTGACACTATGGAGCATCACCTGAACCACCGGTTTCTGTAACGAAATGCACAGAACAAAAATATATATAATACTCCCAATTTTCCGCATGCATTGTTTATAGCAGTGGCGGGGCTGCCTTTCCACCACGCAAGCTTCTGGGGGCCACATGCCATTGGTGGGTGGGGCCTGAGGCAAAACTAGGCAGAGCAACAAATGTGAATTTGGGCTTTGTACTGTGCAATCTAGTTCCTTAATTATAGAATCACAGAGCTGGAAGGTACCCTGAGGATCATCTATGTAATGTAAGAATACGCAGCTGTCCCGTATAGGGGTTGGACCCAAGACCTTGATGTTATCAGCACCATGCTCTAACCAATTGAGCTAGCCAGTTCAAGCAAGAAAATACTATGTAAGGACTCATTTGAGACAGGCAAAAACACCCAAGGAGGCTGCAAAGCAGAACTGGTAAGGGCTGTGGCCTGGGAAGAAAGGAAGTGGGTGTGGTCTGGGAAGTCCCAGAGGCCTGGCAGGGAGTCCTTGAGGGCTGCTTCTGACCCCTGGGCTTAGGTAAACCTTCTCCATTTTACAGGATTGGGAATTTCCCTCTATATTCCATTGTTATCCAGAGCCGATTTTACATGAAAAAAATAAATAGTTGAATTTAAAAATCAAATCAAAATCAAAGCCTATTAGTTGCAAAGGAGTTGCATTTGTAATTAATTACCTAGGTTACCTATATGCATTCCAAGAAAGGCCAACTTGAAATAGTTTGATGGATAAGCTGTTTGTTGGCTGGGGAAATCAAACTTGTGACTAAGGATTAAGAATCCATTTCCACCATTTTACACGGACTCCAAATCTGACTGTAATAGATGAAACACCCAATGGCATAAGCGAACAGCTCACTACACATACTGATTTGAAAACGAAGAAACAAGACAGCACAGTGTGCCTCATTTATGAGGAATTGTAGTATTTATAGTTTGCTAACAGTCTCAACTTCTTTAACATTCTGGTTGAATCAGTGAACATCAACAACAGACAAAAAGTTGAAGGTAATGTTCACTAGATGAAGCATCTGAAAATGTGACATTTCTAAGTGGAACCTGAAATCTATATCCTAACTTCAACTGGTAGTAACCCAACTCAGAGCTCAAACAGAAGCCAGGGGTTTAGGATTCCCCACCTCTACACACTACAAAAATATTCAAAGAGTGGAGGAGAGACAAGAAGGGATGAACTTCAGTAAGCCACCAGTGAGTGGCAGAGCACTATTTGCCTCCATAGTGGAGAACCTTTGAGACTCCAGATGTTGAACTCGCTCCCATCAATGCCAGCCAGCATGGCCAACAATCATGCATGTGAGGCATAGTTCAGCAATATCTGGAGGCTCAGAGGGTCCCCACGCTTGTTCTACCTGAAATATAATGACTGGTATGATTCCCCAACTGGAAATTCAAAATGGGCACAGTGACAGCTTTCATTGGAGAAACTTAGCCCTGGCATGTGAATTTTGAATTATGGAGAAACAGAACTGAGAATTTGGAAACTTCCACAGACTCAAGCTAGAGATCCATCAAGGCTGCCCCTGATGCTCACTTGTGTGGCTCATAGGAAAACCTCACATAAGCACTTTGAGACACTTTAGACAGTTATTTGCTCATGGTTCAAAGAACAGCAGGATGGAAATTTTTAGTGCAGGTTACTTACAGGGTAGCCATTAAGAGGCTGGAAATACAAGTTTGCATCAGTGATGCATACAAGTCCTGGATTAGTCACCAACGGAGTGACCATTTCAGCTTTGCATTCCATATGCAACGTTTCAGAAACATTTTGAAATCTAGAAGAGGAACAAACTACAATTATTTTGTTCAATGCAGTCACCTGCTAAAGGTTAGCTGGGTTATTTCACACCTCTTAATGTGTTTTTTAAAAGACAAAGTTCACTTCAATTTTCTAATTTCTATTAACAAATAACAATTCTCTTTACCTCACCTTTATAATCTGCAATAACCTGAAGACTCCTCAGCACATAATGCATTGCAGAATTTATAGAATATTTTTTTCTCCTTTCAGGATAAAACAAAGCAACAAGGATGCCTCACATTTTTCACATTTAGGCATATTTGGACATTTTCTCTGGTCTCAATAATGAATTATTTTACTCCAGCATTCATATGAAATGTGTAGAACTTAAAAAATATTGAAAGAGGGAAGGGGAACAGGGGAACTCCTAGGGCAGGCTTCCTCAACCTCGGCCCTCCAGATGTTTTTGGCCTACAACTCCCATGATCCCTAGCTAGCAGGACCAGTGGTCAGGGAGGATGGGAATTGTAGTCTCAAAACATCTGGAGGGAGAGGTTGAGGAAGCCTGGCCTACTGTGTAACTGGTTAGGGAAGCATTAAAGGAAGCAGATGACTCCTGCTGCTAGCACACTATTTGCCTTACATCATCCTATGCAGATGGTTTCTAAAAACAGGAAATGAAATTCAAAAGCAAGGAATTTTTATGATGTGAATTATTTATATTAAGAAGCATACCTGTTCTTATCAAATGGTGTCCTGGCCAAACGTGACTGCAATATAGCAGTTATCTAATTTGAAAAAAGGAAACAATACATTACATTTTGGACATGAACCTAAGACATTAGTTTCCACTAATACAACATCCATAGTATATATTTACCATAGCAGCCTGGTCCCCCAGTTTGTCCAGGTGAGATGCCCTGTACAGCTGTTTAAAAATAAAAGCAAGAAGATTTAAAAAAGAGTTTCTTTAGATATATCTAATGCACCTGAAGTCCCCAGGGATAGGTCAGGCCTGTAGAAAAGCATTCTGCGCCAGATTCATTTCCACCTCCAGGCAGGTGTCTGTGGAACAGCTGCCTCCACAACCACAAGAGTCACTATTTAATACCTATGTGAATCCTCTGGGAGCAAGGCAGCATCAGTATGCTTGCGACACTCAGCTTTATTTCTCTTTAACATCTGAATCAGGAGATATTTTCTAGTCCAGAGACGGCCAACTCCTAAGAGACTGCAATCTACTCACAGTTCAGGTCAAAGTTGTTCAGCTTTTTTTAGGGAGGAAAGTCCTGGTTTTTTAGGGGTTCAGGGCAAAGTTGCAGAGCTTTATTAGTGAGAAAGGGGAAAGGTGGCTCACCGAAAGAGCGCTAAGGAAACAATCAGCCTAAGAAAACTCCGTCTTCCGTTCTGGAGATTGTGCAACAATAGAGGACAGGGCATGGTCAGATTCTATTTTACCACCGCTAAGGAAAGGGAGTCAGCGATCTACCGTGATCTATCAAAACCTCCCAGGGATCTACCAGTAGATCACGATTGACCTGTTGGACACCCCTGGTCTAGTCCATGGGCCAGTGCTTGGACGCATCTTGGATGCAGTGGTGAGATGGACGAGGAAAACAATCTGAGATTGAATCCTGGCAAGAATGAGGTACTGAGGGTGAGTGGTCCCCATTTCCAAGAAATTGGTCAACTGCCTATTCTGGATGGGGACCCACCCTCCTTGGAGGTTTGCAGTCTGGAGATAACTTCTGGATCTAGCTCTGTCACTGGAGGCCTAGGTAGCCTCAGTGGCGAGAGGTGCCACATACCAGCTGAGATTGGCATGGCAGCTACGGCCATTTCCTGGACCAGGAAAGCTTGTAGTTCAAGATTCGGTTATGGACAAGAACAAACTTGTCTGAGGAGGAACTATTTGCACCTGTATGAGCTATCTGCTCAATATTTTTTTACTACAAAGGGGATTTTATGCTCCTTTGTAGGTACCAAAATAATGCACAATTGCCATTTGCCATCATGTCAAACTGCATTCTCACCTGGTGAAGGGTATGCAAAACATCGTCAACTTTCCCAGCAACGTCCAGTTGAAATAGGTATTCAGTTTTACCCTAACAAAGAAAAGTGAACCATTAAAAATTACACTGAAACCCAGGGGTCACACCCACTTACCGGACTTTTTAGGAAAAAACAACTACAGCTCAGTGGTCCAGAACATGCTCTTTATGCAAAAGGTCCCAGGAATCTGCAAAGACTCCTGCATGAAAGGTCAGAGAGATGCTGACACTCCAGATAGAGCAGGGATAACCACCATGGTGCACTCCAGAGGTTGCTGGACTACAATTTCCATCACCCCTGACCACAGGCCATGACAGTGAGAGCAATGGGAGTTTGAGCCCATTATGTGTAGAAGGCACCAGCTTGGCCATCTCTGCATGGACAATACTGAGCTAAATGGACCAATGGTCTGAGTCTGTATATTCTTTTTAGAAAAGCATGCTTGTCCTCCAGCCTGTGAACTTGTTACACTTGCACAGCAGTGATGCTACTAGCTGCATTTGTGAGTTATGGGCTGCTCTCTTCTGAGGATTTTCAGGCTGTTCCTATTAGGATATGAACTACAAAGCAAGAGTTTTCACGAGGTTGCATATGATGTCATACGCATAAATACCCCTTTGCAAGTAACCTGACATGAAGCTGACTATACCATTCAAATGTCAGAGAATGGAAGTTTCCGGATGAGAAGATGTACAAGGGACTCATATATCAGCTTTGTGCACTTCATGCAATAATAGACAGAATGGGGAAGTTACAAATATCACCTTGTGGGTAACCTGAACTGCCCTTACAACTGGTTCTAACATATTTGAAGGTTTTTAAGGAGAGATTGGGTGGGCATCTATCATGGATACTTTAGTTAAGATTCCTGCATTGGAGGAGGTTGGACTAGATGACCCTTGGGTCCCTCCCAACTCTATAATTCTATGATTTCAATTCAGATAAAGCAGGCACCCAAGTCACATGTACATTAACCTTCTATATTTCAGTGTAATATTTTTATTTCCCTGTACAGCAATATAGGATCTATATTAGCTGTTTTACGAGCCCCCTAGTTTCTTCAAACTCTTTCTCATGCTTGCAGTATTTGGTGAACAAAACAAATGCCTTTACAAACACCATTCATCTATTTCCCATGAACTTTTTTTAAATAGGCACCAGCATCTGTATAAATTTCATATTGTAATTATTAATATATAAAAATTCACAAAGGCAAGTGCCATCTAATGCTACATATTTGCGTTCTCTCTCGCTCAAACACAAGTCTTTGCTTTCTTTTAGTGAACTTCCTCAAATAACTTACCGCTACTGTTCTTTCAGGAACAACAGGCTTTATGACGTTAAGATATTTGCATGCAAGTAGCAGGGTAAATATATACTCACTCTTTCCATTTTAAAGGGTGCAATGACATTTTGCTCTTTCGTAAGAAAAGCCTAAGAAAGAGGATAGATTATTGAGAGTGCTTTTGGGCAACAGTTTTTTGAATTTTTAAAAAACTATATTTAGAATAAATTTTCTTATTTGTCTTTCTTCGTTGTTCCCCAAATGCTACTGTTTTCTGTCCTTAAATGTTCTTTCATCTTTCTCTTTCATAATGTAAAATTACATCCATGTTTCAACATCTCATCCCTCCCCCCCCCTTACCAAACCCGATTGTTTTATTATGTTTTTATACGTGTTGGAAGCCACCCAGAGTGGCTGGGGCAACCCAGCCAGATGGGCGGGGTATAAATGTATTGTATTGTATTGTATTGTATTGTATTGTATTAATTATATTTATTATAATTATTCCTCCTTGAATTTTTCCCTTCCTATTACTTGAAATGCACCTCCCATCACCTATCTTCTTAAAGCCATTTCTAAAACCCATCTAATTCAGAAGTTAAAATTGAAATAAATTTAAACAAAACTTTTAAATCATACCTTTCCTTGTCAAGAGACCATCTCAACAGGTGTTAGCCAGTTGGTTATTTTCCTCTTGAAGTCTCATAGCTCAGGGGTGGAGCACTGCTTTGCATGCAGAAGACTTCCATGTCCACCCCCCACATCCTGCCACTCCTGCTCAATCTCCTCCCACCCACCATTTTTGTTTTTCAGTTATCATAGTATTAGAAGACTTTTAATGGTTACATGAACTGCATTTTTTTTGGATAAGTCATCTTACCTGTAGCTCTAATGTGTGCCCTCCCATTATTCACAACCACAATTTATCTGATATCTCTGTTCAAATATATTTTCTGTCAGGTTTATTCAGCAGCAGAATAAACTCATTTGTATGTCAATGTTACCTAACAGCTAACACCCTATCATTAAAAACATTGCTACGGGTAGGTTTCCCCACAAATTGACATGATGGACTGTGATTGCAATATACTATGTATATGTATTTTTAAAGCCACACAACAAGCAAGTCCCTGGTTAGGCTGATTTTCAACTAAATGAGTTTAGGTGCAACAGAATCCTAAACTAAATGAGTTTAGGATTCTGTTGCACCTAACCCTTTACTAAATTCTGGAGAATGAGGAACTTACCTGATTGGATAAAATAGAAATCTGTCCAGGGAGTGCCCTAAAACACAGATGTGAAAACCAATCACCACACCAATTAAAACCACAAGCTAAAAAGAAAAGGAAAAATTATCGACAAACGCTTTCAAAAAACCACATACCCTGCATAGAAATCATTTGTATCACTATCCTCTGGTGCTTCTATTTTAATGCAGTCTCTCAATGGAATCTATAGGAATTTACATAAATATACATTAAATTATTTTGTTTTGAAACTGAAGCACACCACAAACCATTGCCATCAGTTACTAACGTACTTACTTTAATAATGGGGTGGCTTATTTCATCAGGTTCAAATATCACTGATTTTGAGCAGATTTTTAATGACCCCCTGATTTTCCTAAGAGTTGAAAAAACATTTAAAAGTTATTGCAGAATTCTAAGCAGATGTAACACCATAACTTCTCCAGTCTTCTCAGTTTTATGGAAGTGCTATTGTACCTTCTTTCTCTGCCATCCTTGTTAAAAATGTAATTAGCTGTATGCTGTTCGAAGTAGTATTCCTCCAGATTAAGGAGTAGCAAGGAAAACCTGCAAACAATAAAAGCAAAATTATTATTATTTGACTATCACAGCACTTTACGCTTTACTAAGTGAGGAACCTGTGACCTTCCAGGTGTTGTTGAACTACAGTTTCTAAGATCCCTCGCCAGTGGCTATTTTGCACAGGTTCCCCACCCATTCAGAAAATATTTACTTTGTCCACAGCTTTCATGCAAACGTGAAGAAAAATGTTTTTAGAGAAAGAGCTAATCTATATTTTAATGGCATATCTGTTTCGGATGCATTTGTTAACACACACACAGTTATCCCTGGGGCAATGGACTCCGTAACTGTGAAGTCCTCTGCTAATGGGGGATGCCAACCTCTGGCTACTCAAGAAGACTTGACGAAATACACTTCAGACCCTCCAACCACCATCAGCAGCCTTGCGCTCTCCTGATATCTTTTCGCCATAATTGCCATCAGCCCCAGCCAGCTACCACATTTCAGAAGGAGCTGGTGGGAGTTACAGTTTTAAACATCTGGAGGGCACCAGGTTGGCAAAGTCTAATCTAGAAAACAGAGCAGCTCCCAAAAAACAGGAGCAGGGCCATCCTTCAGTCACATATATAAGATTAAGCCAGGCAAGTCTGTAAAAAAAGAAAAGCTTGTAGTTAACCACTATCTATGATCTTCATAGGTGGGAAAGTCTATTATCCTGATACCTGTTTTTAAGGACTCTGCATGGGCACAACTCAGCTTGCAAAGAGCAGATACACACAAGGCTTTTGCCTGTATGCACAGCTCCTTCCTTGCTCCTTTGCAGCACAAAGCAACCAAACAAGGCAAGTTCCCAGATCACCATAGGTCAGTTTCTTTTTTCATCTGAACTGGGGAAATTTGATTAAGCGGCTTCAGAAAAAGCCAGGATTTTAAACCTCAATTTGCAAAGCTGATTTAAGTTCTGGCTTGTGCCAAAGCTGGTAGCCATTGTTTATTAAGCAGGGATGTGATTGTTTCAACACAGCCACTCTTCACACACATCACCGTCAGCATTCGAATATTTCATGCCACATGAAAGATCAATTTCCAAAGGGATGGCCACTTTATAGCTTGTTGCAGCAAAAACTGCAGTGCAGACATCTCCTTGCCTTCTGACCTCAGTCTGCAATCCCCTCTCGCCACCACACACATAGGCTCAAAACTGGGTGTACAGTAGTACCTTGGTTCTTGAACGCTCCAGAACTCGTACGTTTCGGCTCCTGAACGATCGAAAACTGGAAGTGAGTGTTCTGGTTTTCAAATGTTCTTTTGGAAGCCGAACGTCTGACAGGGCTTCTGCAGCTTCCTGCAGCCAATCAGCTTTGGAAGCTGAATGTTTCAGAAATCGAACAGACTTCCAGGACAGATTCCGTTTGATTTCCAAGATACGGCTGTATATACTTATAACTCAGGATAACATTTCATGCATCTGAAAACTCTTGAAAGCTTATGCCATAATAAACTTTAAGATGCCACAAAACTCTTTGTTGTTTAGAGAATATAAGACACTCTCCTGTGTGTAGCAGGGAGGCCAACTATATGTCCTTTTGATCCCTTCCCATTATGACTGGTAATATCTAATACAAAGGGCTTGACTGGATGGGCCAAGGGCATAATTAATGCAGTCATGTGAGGGAAGTAATTCCCACTGCCTTGAAAGAGGCAGGTGCATCTTCCTTTGAAGAGGCCTTCTCTGGATCCAGAATCATAGAACTGCAGAGTTGGAAGAGACCCCAAAGGTCATCTAGTCCAAGCCCCTGCAAAGGTCCATTCTGTCTCCTATACTAGTCAAGATCTGTTATGTACTGAAGTTCTCACCCTGGGCCAGCAGGGGGATACTGTAGATAGTTATGCAAATGAAGGATCGAAAGTGACGTTCAGTGATTGGATAGTTTTAGAAAGCTGCTACAGTAACGTTATACTGGAGCTCTATATAAGCAGGCTGACTGAGCCCTTCAACTCAGTTCTGTTCTGGCCTCTGAATAAACAAGAGCTGTTTGAAGAATCGCTGTGTCGTCTGATATGTTCACCCACAACTTAACAAGATCTATATGAAGAAATTGGGAGCAGACACATCTCTCTCTCTCTCTCTCTCTCTCTCTCTCTCTCTCTCTCTCCATTCCATCTGACTCAGGAGATGCTGCAGAGCTGTTAGAATTGTCTGAATCCTTTGCTCTTGTCTTTCTTCTCAGAGGTCAGATGGTGTCCCATAAACACTGCAAAGCTCAGCTTTGGATAATTTGAGCAAGAGAAAGCAGAAATTGAACAACATGGGTTTATAATATGACTGAAGCTTCTCTCACTTCTAATCACAAGATGAATAGACAATAATAACGCAAGGTACTGAATAAATCATTGCATGGTAACGAAGAGTAGCTTGCAGAGAATTGCTAAGTGGCTCCTCCATTTATCTGTGTGGTGAGATGCTTATCCTCTCTTGAGATTCTTGGGAACAAATACCCTATCAAATTACTTGAGGAATTATTCAGCACTATGTTCCTAAAACACTAAAATGACCAAGTCTTACTACCAGTTAAATTATCATCTTGCCACCCGGTGATCATCGTTCATTAAATTTGCTTCCATCAACAGACATATCATTCCATTGCAAGAAGATGAATTATTTGCAATGACAGGCCCATTAACACCAGTTTCAAATAACAGAACTATTACGAAAGTGGCAGTAAACATGTGATAGATGAGATTACATGAATTAGTCTTAAGGCTTGTAGAATCAGAAAGGTGAAAGGTAAGTTAAGGAAGTAAGCAGATGTCGGCCAAGTCTGGTCTAACACCAGACCTCCCAACTCCCTCACCTCCCCATGCTGATCATATTGAGTTTGAAAAGTCCAAGCTGTACCAAACTACTTTGACTAAAAGCAAGATATACACCAATGGAAAACATGCATGGATTTTAGTGGAACCAATTTCCAACCGTGCTACTTAGCCTGCAGGTAAACTCAATTAAACGAGGTACACTTCAATAAAAGCTAGGCTGTGGATTGGGCTCTTGGCTTTAATTTAAATGTTTAATCAATATGCAGACTCTAAAGCTTCAGTGAATTATGAAATTATCTTCATCCATCAAGTCTCCTTCCTTTCTAAGGCCTAATTTAACACGAAGTATTATTTCAGATTTGAAAATTGGACAAATCCAATTCTCTCTTTTTAAAGCTGTTTAGTATGAGCCAATATATGGTACCTGCACTTAGGGCCATTCTCAAGATTGCATTCCAGTTCTGGCTTCTTAAAGACATGAGTTATAGAACCAGGTGAAAATACTATGGAAGATGAAGTGCATAAGAAAGGTAAAACAAATACGATAAACTCCCTTGATTTAGTGAACAGGCTGCCACATTATTTATTTAAAAAGCAGATTATGATGGAAATTTTACTTTCTATACTACCAATTTCTTGTCATATGTCTTGACAATAGATTTCTGAACTTCTGTTCATGGCATTAGGTATGGATGATGAAGTGTGCAGGTACACCAGCCTTGTTTTTAAAGCACATACCCAATAGCCGTAGGCAATAAGGAAACTCATGCAGCCCAAGTGAATGGATAGGCAAAGAAGGGACAAAACACTCTGTCCCTCCTTTGCACCCAGCAGGGAAATGTAGCAGGCTGCTGGAGGAGGGATGGAGCTTTCCATCTCTCTTCTGCCAGACCCCAGCAAGGCAGGAAACATCCACGCCATATACCGTATTTTTCGCTCTATAACACGCACCCGACCATAACACGCACATAGTTTTTAGAGGAGGAAAACAAGAAAAAAAATATTCTAAACAAAACAGTGGATGTATGATTTTTGTGGTTCATGCTGCGGCCACAGACATCATCATCATCATCATCATCATCATCATCATCATCATAAATTTTATTTATATCCCGCCCTCCCCAGCCGAAGCCGGGCTCAGGGCGGCTAACAACAACATGTGATCTGACGGTGAGTTTGGGGTAGCCCAATGCAAAAATCCTGAGGATCCATGTGGATCCATGCTTTGTAACCATGTTTTTGCACCATTGTGGCCCCAGGCAACAGTGGGTGCGTGATTTTTTTGGTGCAGGCTGTAACCATGGATCCTCTGCTCACGACTGCAGCAGATCCCCCCGTCATCCGTAGGCATTCGCTCCATAACACACACAGACATTTCCCCTTACTTTCTAGGAGGAAAAAGGTGAGTGTTATGGTGCAAAAAATACGGTATATAAAGCACAGAGCTCCCCTCAAAGAATCCAGGGAACTAACTATAGTGCTGGGTGTTGGGAACTGTAGTTCTGTGAGGGGTAAATTATGGTTCCCAATATATATTTTTTCAGGAAAAGGGTGGAAGCCATGTACTTTAAATGTGTGATATAGATGTGACCCTATGAAGTTTTGTGGGCCTGTTTACAAGGCTGGTGAATGCATGCACACACGCTCACATTGTGCTTTGCCTTTTAAGGAACAAGTGGCACTATAGCTGCAACACTCAACGTGAAAGAATAAGCCGTTGAGATTTCTAAACAGGAAGCAAAGCAGCAGCACGGACAAGTACAAGTTTATCTGAGCAAACCACAGTCGTTTTTCATTCAAACCATAAGCATAAGGGAAACAATGACCGCATAATATTATCAGTTACATAAATATGCAAAACGAAGAACTCCATTTGATGGATTTAATAAACTACATTTCTTAACAAAGTATGTTTTTCAGGATAGTATTCACTGCACTTACAGAATTTCCAGGTCATTTTAAAGTTTTATTTTCCAATCATCCAAAGCAAAAAATCCTTTAGTGTAGACTGAGAGAAGGCTACCTGCCGCAGTACTTGGGCCTTCAAGAAGTTCTGACTCTATCATTAGTTGAATGAACATTCAAGGACGCAAGGACAGAACAACCTGCTGGATCAGGCCAATGGCCCATTTAGTCCAGCATCCTGTTCTCACAGTGGCCAACCAGATGCTTGTGGGAAGTTTGCAAACTAGGCAGCATTCAAAAGCATGATGACCCTGATAGTAGAGAGGTAAAACATAGCAAACTTGTCTTCCACCCACTGTTTCCATACCATGAAAGGAACAGTAAAAAAACAAATCTGCACATTGGACTGGAGCACAACTTTCACAAGGATTTGAGATTATAGATCAGGCATCCCCAACCTTTGGCCCTTCAGATGTTTTGAGACTACAGTTCCCATCATCCCTGACCACTGGTCCTGTTAGCTAGGGTTCATGGGAGTTGTAGGCCAAAACATTAGGCTGCAGGTTGGGGATGCCTGTTATAGATGCATGGATCCACATCCTAACTCAAAACATTGCTAAGTTGCACTGAGACAGCAACTGACAAGTCATCCTCTAATTACCACACATTGGCACATGAAGTATTAAGGAAGCAGCTAGATCAGAGGTTTCATGGGGTTTCAGCAGCTGACTACTTCGCGCTGAACACTGGGTGTTGTTTCTTTTAAGCAGTCTGTTGCCAAATGTCCATCCTGCTCAAATATAAAAACTTTCCTCTGCCAGCAACCAGATCTTGAAATATTATGATTAATCTGTCAGGAAACAGAACACAAATTACACCATCTGGCAGTGATAATCTATCGTTAGTGATAATGTAAGAGATTTAGAGGGGAAAGTGTGGTAGCCTATTATCATAAAAAAAAACAACCCCTGTGTACAGCCGCAAAGAGCAAATACAACAAAAAGTATTCTAGACTAATAGACTTATTATGGTATAAGCTTTCATGGGTAGAACTGAAAATCTGTATACCAACACCTTTCTAGGTGATACTTATTGTTGTTGTTGTTGTTTAGTCTTTAGTCGTGTCCGACTCTTCGTGACCCCATGGACCAGAGCACGCCAGGCACTCCTGTCTTCCACTGCCTCCCGCAGTTTGGTCAGACTCATGTTGGTAGCTTCCAGAACACAATAAGTGATACTTATTACTATTGTTTATTAAATTCTCTCACTGCAAGCAACTCAAGGCACCTTTACCTACAAGCTGTATATTTCTTAATATGAAGTCAACTCTTTTGGGTTCCACCAAGGGCTATAGCACATTCACTGCCTTTGATTGCTGTTGTTTTTCTGGGTACCATCGGGGGAAGAATGATTGTAAGTGCTCCCTAGGGAATGGAAGTGAACACCAGGGATGGGAAGTGTGTAATTTTGCCCCACCTTTTATTGTGAGTTTAAACTGGAGATACAACAGCAGAAGTGAGAGTGCTACCGCTACTTACAAAAGGCAGGCTTGCATATTGGACGGGTAGGGCTAGTAGTCTCTGCTTTCTTTCTTTAAGTCTGCTGGCAGTTATTATGGACTCTCATATATTACTGTTCTAGTATGTCTTTATGTTTTAAGAGCATCTTATCTGATTGTTCCATGCTGCTTCAAAATGTGAAATTTTTGTTGTTGTATTTTTTTGGCATGTTTTATAATACTGTAAACCACATTCAGACTTCTTTGGGGCATAAAGCAATACAGAAAATCACCTAAACAAATAAATATTAACAGTGTGTATATAAGGCATCTGCAAATCTCAAATATCGGATTTAGCTTGCCAAGTAAGAATTAAAAGGACAACCCTCCAGGCATTTGTGGCTACACAGACTCTTATTACTTCCAAGGGCACGATTCTTACACAGGTCTGAAATGTTGTTGCATGGCCTCATGCCCTTTATTTGATGATTATGATTTGAAAGTTCTTCATTAGATATTATAGGTTAGGTTATGGATGTACTGAGAGCGGACTAATTCTCTGAGTGGGCATCATCCACACAATAGTAGGGTACATGCCATGGCTTGGGGAACCCCTAGGTTTGAAGAAGTACAAAAATATGTTGGAGTGGCTTTTCTAAGGAGGGACACACACACACACACACGATAAGGAGGGTTAAGAATGTTCAGTGGCCATAGGATGTTAAAGGGGAGGAAATGAAAAACGATGGGTGGTGGGGAATGGAAGGGAGCTTTCTGGAAAAGGGCACAACTGGTTAACCCCAATGCAACAGGCTGTTGCAGGTCGCATATGTATTAAAGATATACAGCTGGCCGGACAGTGCCAATGCTCAGCTCATCTTAGGCACTTGGTGACCTTAGGCAACCCACAACCTTTGCGATAGGAAGATAGTAATGCAGGGAGCTGTTGTAAGATCATAAATGTAACAAACACTTGAAATACATTGTAGAAAATGCAATTAAACTCTGCCCAGAGCATTTTACTTTCTATACTCTAAGATATGGAAAATTTCAAGCAAAATAAGAAAGAAATTTCCTTCAGTCCTAAAAACTCTCATTTAAAAAGCCCACAACTGTCAATAACTTACGGCTCTTTCCAGAAGAGATCTACTAACCCTTAATCCCACCCCACCCCCACCCCACCCTATAGTGTTTTCTTCTGGAATTGGGTGCAGAAAATTAAACGCATATAGAAGGATAGCCCACCCCCAAAGCTGACAGCTAACTTACTTTTCATAATGTTCTAGCTCCACCCTACCTATCCTTTTCTTCCTCAACCATTTCCACTGTCTCATACCCATGTGATATTTCTTCTAAGGTTGAGCAGCTGGTGACCTCTGTGTTAACGCTAAGAATGCAGAGATGCTTTTGCATCAGAAACTTCATCTGTGAAACATTTGCATGTGACCAGTGCCGCCGCCTCCTCCAGCATGATTGCTCAGAAAGGAATTGCAGGGAGTATTGGAGTCTTCACACAAAGGCATTCCCCCGCGTAGGTGGGGAAACCACAAACAGTGAGGCCCAAGCTACAAACTGCAATCTGCAGTGAAAAATCCCCCTTTAGTACAACTATGGGATTACCCACAAACAAAACACAAAAATGCCAGCTTCAGTCAGAGTACAGATTTTCCCTTTAGTCTGCACAGATTCAAGGAAGAGAGTTTAGGCAGCAGTCTATTCAAGTAGTCAGTAAGAAGTAAATGTGGTCCTAGGAAGCTGATTACAGAGTCAGACCATTGATTTATCTACTTAAGCATCTACTTTAAGCAGTAGCTTTGCAGACGTTCAGACAAGAGTCTGTTAGAAATGGCCCTTCTCAGGACTTGCTCCAATGGTTCCAATTTCACCTGGGACAGAAGGGGCTTTCTAAATCCCATCCTTGATAGCCCACTGCATTACACAGTGCTTCTTACCTTAAGCACTGAACCACAGAAGGAGCGTTTGAAATTCGCCAGGCGCCAGATGTATTTTGCACCTATCAGCCATTTGCAACCAAGTGAATATGCCTGGGTGCCAGGATGGCACCTGAGGTCTCCATCGTCTGGAGGTGCATGCCTGAGGATCCTTCGATCTTGACTATTTTCACACACTAGCTACATACCCTGTAGAAGTCTATCTGTTATATTTTATCTGCACAATCAAAATGAATTTCAGGAACCAAAAAGTCATATTGAAAATACAGTAAGGCATGATGCAAGATACAAATATGGAGGATATGTTTACAGTTAAAAAGCTAAGATATATGTTCGTACTTTTGGGTAACCTGAAGTTTGTACAGAAGTATTAAACATATTAAGCTTGCTTTTTAAAAGAAAGTGGAGAAGAGGAAGGTGCGGTAAGGGAATAAATTATTCCATTGTACCATTTTTTATTATTTTCTTTAGAAAAACATCATAGATTAAGCCTGACTTGGAATAACACTATCTGCTCTGGAAGCCTTGCATCTTAAATAACCAAAGCGTGTTTTTAAGGCCCATGGAAGTTATTGGGACTTACTTGCAGGCAAAATCACATACCTGGTGCTGGGAACAGAACAATGTTGCATAGTAGTGAAAGAGACACACTATTAAGACTACAACTGTGTGCAGATTTGGAAGTCCCATTAAACTTTCTAATGCAAAATATCATGCTGCAACCCCCTATCATTATACCATATGCTGCCAATTATGCAAGCAGGACCTGCAACAAAGAATTGCAGTATGGAGTGCTCCTGTTTAGGGTCCCACCACCATGTCAGCTGACATTTATTTAGATATCTACTGCCTGCCCATTAACCATGCCCTGTGGGTGGTTCACAAACATTAACACAAGAGTCTAAACTTTAAATATTAATATAGCATATAAATATTAACACAATAAGCATAAGATCATTCTAAAACACAGTTTAAATCCAAGATAAAATACCCTATCCTCCTGCGGTGCAAGTGGGTGTGTCTGGCTGTTAACAAGAAGGCTGGTGCTTCAAGCCCACCCAGGGACGGCTGTGGGCAGGATTCTTGCATTGCAGGGGGTTGGACTTGATGACCCTTGGGGTCCCTTCTAGCTCTACAATTCTAAGATTCTTTTTTTTTTTTTGTCATAGTATCTCAGGTATGATAAAATCCAGACTGAGGGAGCGGGAAGTGGAGGAAGGCAGTGATCTGGAGGTGAATGGAGAATTAATGGAGCTACAGAAAGTTTACTATTCCCATTAAATGACAAGATGTATGAACCCTAAGTGCTCATTTGTGCCTGGCCTGTGACTGGTTCTAACTCCCCTTTCTCCAACTAGGGGACACTATGGACCCATCTCCCTGACCTTACCAGACAGCACCAAAGCCCAACCTAAGTTCTCCACTATTGGAATAATTGTTTATCTATTCATCCATGAAATGTTGAGAGGGTATAATCAATGCCAATGTTTTGGCCGGTATGTGCAATGAGGTCCTAGAATAGCTGACAAGCATTGGGCAAATATTTTCACACTTATGAAAAAGTTAATATCCAATACAACTAAATGTCCTTAGCCTAATGTTTCAATCTATATTTCAGCTATGGACATGTATCCGATCCTCTCATGCCTCTCACCCCAAAAATGCCTGTCTGTGAGCCATGATCCTAAGTTTATAACACAAGTTGCAGCAGCTACTCAGTGACGAGGGGAAATGCATTCTGCACATGCTCAAATGCTTCACATTCCTTGCATGACAGTCCCGGTTACGGAAGTCAGGTCTCGCACAAACTAAAGCCGGGGAACAAACTGATCACACCTGGAGCAATACAAACACTCAAAAGCTCCCAGCTACACCAGTAAATACAACCGAAAGTTTATTGGCCTGTCACTTTCTACTCAAAGCACCGCTAGGAACACCCGTCCCAAACGATAGAAAATGAGAAAGTTGCTCTTTTTTCGTAAGCAGAAAAAAGCGAAGGCGAGTGGGCGGAATTTTACGCGGCCGGGGTTTGCGCGCGAGAAGGGAAGCCTATTCCAAACACGCCGCGCCATCCGATCCCCTCGCAAACGACGCCCCCCCCAACTTGCGCATCCTTTGCAGCTCTCGGAGCCGAGCCGGCAGTGAGCAGGCACTGCGGTGCCCCAAGAAAAGCAGCCCCGCTCGACTTCCGCGTCGCAGGGCCGCCTTCGCAGCAATGCAGGACCAGCGGGCGCGACGCGCCCCCTGGCAGCTCTGCCCAAGCGGGCCGCTTTCGCTCGCCCTCCTCGCCGCCCCCTCGCATCTTGGTCGCCCCCCGTCTGAGCGGCCGGGAGGGCGAGGCCTAACCGTGGGGCAAGGACCGAGGTGGCCCTTCTATCGCAGGCGTCCCACCCTCGCCAGCCCGGCTTGAGCTTTACTGGGACTCCGGGGCGCTTCTGAGCAGCCGGCCGGGGCGCGCATTACGCCCGAGCCGCCCCCCGAGCTGCCCCCGCCGGGCTTGCGAAGGGCGGCCCCGCTCCCTGACAACGGGCCGGGGGAGGAAGCTCGCCCCGCCGCGGCGCTTCACGCACCTCTCCTTGGAGTAGAGCTGCTGCTGCTCCTGCCGCCGCTTCCGAATGAAGGCCATGGAGGCGAGTCGGCGCCGCTTCCGCTGGGCAGCTCCTTTGTAGCGCGCACGCCGCCGCGCGCTCACCGCCAGGGGCCCCGCGCAGTGCCAGCGCCGGCCATTTATACCGCAGAGGCCGCCGTCCCAGGCGCTCGGCTCGGGCTGGGCTGCTGCCAAGCGTCGCCTGCCCTCTCTCGGCCGCGGCGGGCCTCTCCGCCTCCCGGGCCGCGCGCGGGGATTTCGAGGCAGCCACAGCTTGGCCCTCGGAAACCAAGAGCCCTCCGGTGGGGAAAGGCCGGCGGTGTCTCAGCTTTACGCTGTCGCTGCGCCCTCGTCTTCCCCCTCCGTCCTGGCCAGTGACTTTAGGCCCAAGCGCTGCGCTCTCCAGAGCAATTGAAAAGAGGCAGGGAGTGATCCTGCGAGCGCAAAGGGAGGCACGTCGGGGCAAAAAAGAGCACCTGTTTCGCATACAGGTTCATGAGGTCTGAAATGGCACCGGCTGAGCATTGGGGTCGCAGTGAATGGCGCAATGTAGATGCTGACCCAATGTGCTGCAGCTGTGAAAAGCCCAAATTCCGAGCTAGCGGGTGTTCGTAAAGGAATTGAAAATAAAATTGCTGATGTCATACAGGCCATACACAAGTCTGTGGTGCGACTGCATTTCCAATGGTTGGGGCCCAACAACATCCGAAGAGCCACGGGTGCCCTGGGCCCTAGGCGTGTGTTCACAGACAGGTGTGTTTTCCAGAGCTCTGGCTACAAACCAGCCTCAAGGAAAATGTGACCTCTAGTTTCTTCATCAACAACTCATAAAACGCTGTTCTAGAGCACCAATCATTTACTCTGGTAGAAGGAAAGTTGTTATTCTACAGTATGGGGTGTGGGTTGCATGCAGTCATGGACCATAATTAAACTACCCATACTTTTGAACCAACAACGGTTTGTTTTTAGTGTAGAATAACTCTTCTGTTACAAGAAAACAGGTTAGCATGTTGAATACTGTACACACGAAAAACCCAGATTTAGAGCTCCTCCTTGTGGTCATGTATGGTTACAACACATAACGTCCTTAAATTAAACACAGAGCAGGTACTTCATCTTGAAGTTAGTTAATTAGAAAGTTAGTTCAATAAAAGCACTTCATTAAGAATTGACTGCCGCAGAAACAAGTTCTCTTAAGCAATTAAAACTGGTTAGCTTAGTGGCTAATTGAAGACAAATGTCTCCTTGCAAACAGAGATTACTTGTTTTTCTTCACAGTCATGATCCATTACCATGAGATCATGGGTTGCTGTTGGCTTTAGTTCAGTTCCCCTTTTTAACCTTTGGTGATGGAGGAATCACATGTTAAACAATCCTATGAATGTAAGAAAATGCCATAATTTATTTTTAGTCTAAGATGCCCAGGGCCATCTTTACCTGGGGGGTGCAAGGGGTGTGGGGCACCTGGGCATCAAATTTTAGGGGAGTGCCAGGCACCCACTGCTGAAGCCACCTAAGCGTATTGTATTGAGCTGCTATGTGGCAGTGGGGTCAGAGGCACCTTTGACACGACTGATCTTGCTCCGCCTGCCTGCCACTGAAAGGCTGCCCGAGATGGCTCTCCCATGCATGCGCACAATGCCCGCCTGTCTCACCTCCCTACAACCGTAAGCGCATGCATGGAGTCTTTACACCAACTCCCAATGTGTTCTTTGCCTTCTTTAGAAAAGCTGGTTTTAAACCAAAAACAAACAAACCTCCTTTTGGAGCTGTGCAGGCATGAGCGCTATTTATCAAATGATAATAGTGACATAAGCATAATAAAAGTTTATTTGGGGGGCTAAACTAAATTTTGGGGCACTGGGTGGATCTTTGCACCCCGGCGGTGCATATGCTAAAGACGGCTCTGAAGATGCCACAAGACTGCTGATTTAAAAGTTATGTGAATGACCAATCTTTGAAGAAGATTTCCATGTGTGGTTCTGCATGGAATCACTTTCAAAAGGGAAGCATTCGTGAAAACCAAATGTCTCATTGGAACAAGACCACAAGACAAATCTAGACTGTAACCCTTTTAAAGTGATGTTTTTGTTTGTTTTGCTATATTAACAGTGCAATCACATGTGCACACATACATTCACTGGGAAGCAAATTCCATGGGATTTAATCCCAGGTAAATCTGCCCAGGACTGCAGCCTAAGACCACAATCCTGAACACAATCACAAGGGAGTTGGTAAGATTTGTTTCTGAGTAACCGTGCTTAAGATGGCAACTGCACACCACATTATAACATACTGGTTTTTTTAGATATATATGCTATCATGATGTTCGCTATCTAGTATTTCGATGGAGGAAACAATGAAATGTTGTGAAGTAATACATGCTGAAGAGACCCAAACATCTGTGCAAGCACAAAGTTACATTTTGACTGAATGCAGCCAATGGAACCATAACACCCGAAAGGCATAAATAACTTTGGGTCGCAGCAGGAGCACTACCACCATGCAATGATAAGGTAAAAAATGAAGAAATGGGTCCCCAAATGCACGTTTGGGTTGGAAAAGGTTGAAGATCCCTCATCTAGGTCATTAATGATTTTGCTGACTTGGATGTGTCCAGGATTTTGGGCAGAGTTCTGTCCCAATCCTGCCTGAATGTGCAGGGAATTGAATCTGTGACCTCCTGCATGCAGTGAATGAATGAATGAATCTTTATTTGCGTCAGCCATCGGCCACAGCAACAAAACAATGCAATATACAAAGAACAGAAATAAAAAGTCGATTATATAAAACACACTTTAGGGTCCTGAACAGTGGGACCTTATTCTGATTGCCCCAGCTGAAAACCTTGCAACCTCTGCAATGTGCCAATCTGCATGCAGTGACACTGAGCTACACCTGTTCCCCATGATCCGTACAGTTTTGTGGAGGCACACAAACAAGCACACATGTTTCCCTAGCCACACGCTGGTTAAACTACATCATTGGAAAAATATTTATTTGCACACATGCTGATATTGGCTGGTAAAGTAACTGAAGATGAGCTAGCATCATAGCAGGACCAGAATCAATGTGGCATCAGGGTCACCAGGGATGTCCATGGGAATAAGGGCAAGCTTGCAGCTTCTGTTGGAAGGAGGCTGAGAGATCAATGCCTCCATAGGCATGGTGTTTTACAAAGAAATATTCAGAGCCTTTTCTCATTTTTGGACACTTGATGGCACTAAACTAACACAATATACATCTTAATCCAACATTGGAAGGTGCTGTGCCATAATGTAAACTGGTAATGTTAATGTTTGTGTTTCGTGTTCTTTGGGGCTAGATTTTGGCAATGGAAGAATATACTTAAAAATTCATCAAAATACAGCAGGCAAGTCCTAATCGGAAATGAATGAACAAATTACAAAACCTCCACCAACCCCTTGATATCGACATGCTTAAAAAACCTATTTGCTCAGTTTTTGTATTGTTAATCTGGTGAAGCCTCATCTTGTTTCCAACATCGTTTCTTTTTAATTCCCTCGTACAAAATTCTGTGAAGACTCTAAGCAACTGCCATTTCCAGTGTCCTGCTAGGCTTTTCTGGCAAAATAATAATAATAATTTATTATTTATACCCCGCCCATCTGGCTGACTTTCCCCAGCCACTCTGGGCAGCTCCCAATCTAAGTGTTAAAAACAATACAGCATTAAATATTAAAAACTTCCCTGAACAGGGCTGCCGTCAGATGTCATTTAAAGATAGGATAGCTGCTTATTTCCTTCACATCTGAAGGGAGGGTGTTCCACAGGGTGGGCGCCACTACCAAGAAGGTCCTCTGTCTGGTTCCCTGTAACCTCACTTCTCGCAATGAGGGAACCGCCAGAAGGCCCTCGGCGCTGGATCTCAGTGTCCGGGCTGAACAGTAGGGGTGGAGACACTCCTTCAGGTATACAGGAAGACAGAGCACAATTCTTGTGCTGCCTTACCATTTTCCAGGTTCCCTCAATCCCATTTAACAACATTTCTGTCTAAAGATATATAATGGTGGCACCAGGCAAGCCTCCGGTGGCGGACTTTGAGCTTTCAAATTTCAGCAGCACCCCGTGCAACACCAAATTTCCTCCCCCCCTCACCTTTTGTTCTAAGTCATTGTTCCAGTGGCCCCTCAGGGCCCTCTTGGCTTGGTGCCCAGTGCAGGTGAACTGGCCATGCTTCCATAAATCTGCCTCTGAAGGCCCCCTGGGGAGAGCATTTGACAAGCAAGGAGCCTGTGCAGAAAAGGCCCATTCTCATGTTGCTACCACCTGGACTTCTTGTGAAGGAGACATATGAAGAAGGGCCTCAGATGACAATCTCAGGGTCTGGGTTGGTTCACAAAGGGAGAGGTGGTCCTTGAGGCATTGTGGTCCTAAGCAATTTACGGCTTTATCGGTCAAAACCAGGAATTTGAATTGGGCCTAGACACTAATTGGCAACCAGTGCCGTCGGACCAGGATTGGTGTAATATGCTCAAACCATCTTGCCCAGTGAGCAACCTGGTTGCAAAATTCTGCACCAGCTGAAGCTTCCAAAACATATAACATGTTGCAGTAATCTCATTTACAGGTTACCAAAGCATAGGCAACAGAAATTAGGCTACCCCTTTCCAGCTGAAGCTAATGGAAGGCCACCTGAGCCTCAAGCAACAGTATTGGATCCAGAAATACCCATAAGCTACATATCTATCAACGGACACAGGTGGCGCTGTGGTCTAAACCACAGAGCCTAGGGTTTGCCAATCAGAAGGTTGGCGGTTCAAATCCCCGAGACGGGGTGAGCTCCCATTGCTCTGTCCCTGCTCCTGGCAACCTAGCAGTTTGAAAGCGCGTCAAAGTGCAAGTAGATAAGTAGGTACCGATCTGGTGGGAAGGTAAATGGCGTTTCCGTGCGCTGCTCTGGTTCACCAGAAGTGGCTTAGTCATGCTGGCCACATGACCCGGAAACTGTACGTTGGCTCCCTCGGCCAATAAAGCGAGATCAGCGCTGCAACCCCAGAGTCATTCATGACTGGACCTAACAGTCAGGGGTCCCTTTACCTTTTTACATACCTATCAAGTGTAATCCCATCAAGAGCAGGCAATAGAAACATCAACAATCTGGCATCTTTATTGTTTTATTTGATCATGCTTCAGTGTGACTTTAGGTTGTCTATGGCCA